ATGGGTGGACACCACTTGTTCAGATACAATTTACACAACAGTGAGTATCTGCTAATGCTCCACTACACCTTTTTTCTTCTTCTAATGACTTGTTTGTGAGCCACAATCACCCTTATGCCAAACTAGTAAACTAAAAATGCATATGTATATATTTCAAGTAATTGGAGGTTCATAATGACTCAAATGAGTCAGAACTTGTTTGCTTAGAGTGCAACTTTTCGAAATGCAAAAAGTAAAGATACCAGACACATATTTGAGCTGCTAACATCAGCTGGTAAAATTCTTTACCAAGTATTTTCCCAAAGAATTTTCTCAAGTTGTTTTCTCATATGAACTCTGGACAGTGCCTGGAGAATCAGGCCTGGACATTGTCCTGAGCTGCCTTTTCACACATGTAGCACCTGCCCGTGTCCTGTTTGGCTGTTTTCCTTCTTTAAGTGTAGAAAATGTCCATGCAGTTAACATTATAACAGCATCCAGGTGTTCTAACTTGAGTGGTTGCCATTGTTATAATGTGACCTGAACCTGCCTTTCTTTTTGCAAAGTGTGGATTTTAAGTATTTACATAACATTTCATGACATTTCTTCAGCTTAGACCACTAGACCATCTTGACATCCATAATATTGGATTTTATTGTCTTTAATATATTTTATGGTATCCATTTTGCTAGTATCAGACCAATAGTATTGGATTGGAGCATTTGTAGCTAGCATTCTCCAACATCCGAGCAATTTCCTCGCTAGGAAACAGACTTTCAGTGAAATCGTTTAGGAGTCAAAAGTTCAGCTTACCCCTGTGGTTGTCATACAGAGCTGGGATGTGTGTTAACATTTTGGCGCCAGTGCTCAGGATGGGTGTGTGCAGTGGGTGACGTTGAGGTTGGGTGGTTCAGGGTTATCGGTGGTATTTATGTCACCAACAGACGGGGGCTCGGTCGAGGTGAGATAGACGTTAACTCAGAGGAGCGCAGTCAGGCTTGTGGCCAAACGCTGTCAGCCTAATACCAGCGAGCGGTCCAGGAGGAGCAGTCGCAGCATCTGGATAGTCAAGCTCCATTAGCCTCCCGGCTCTGTTTTACACCAGCTGCATTACAGTCTTGTTGACAAATGGCAGTAGAGGTGGTGTGTGTGATATGAATCACATAACTCAGGGGACCTCCACCATGAATATCATACCCCCTAGCTCCCTGATCTTTCCCCTCCTCCCTCCCCTCCCTCTTGTCTGGGCTTGCTGTGAACTGTAGCAGCAGCCTGGCTGGGATTCAGTGGGACAGCATTAGCTCTCAACCTTGGTGAAGGACTAAATGCAGCCTCAGCCTGGTGTCCTTGCTGTCACACTGCTGTTGGGAGAAGATAAGCACTCGAGCCTTTAGGACATGCTGTAAGGCTCCCGTCGGCCCCTGCAGCACGGTGAGCTGGGTAATTGCAGCGGCACTGTGAATAATTAATTAAGCAATCGTTACATCTGACACACGACATGCTACACACGTATCTTTGAAGATGAGGGCGGTCGTGTTGTGGGATTTTATGATACGTTTTTTTCCCAGTATTTACAAAAAGCAGATTCTGGCTGAAGGGCTTAGCAATTATTTGACTCTCTTTATAAAGCAGCGTCACACTTGAAAGTTCAGTGTTACAGCTCTAACCTTTAAAATGCCATGTAAAGATGCAGATCTCGATATAAGAAGTCATTTTATCTGGCAGTGGAAGTGTTTACATTTCATATGACATATTTCAAGTCTTTTTTTTTTCTTCTCCTCATATAACCTATCACAGAAATCCAGCCAATTTTGAAGAAAACAAATTGTGATATTGCCTCTTCTATATGCTGCACCTGGACATTTTCACTGCTACAGAGAAAATATTTACCTCTAAGAAACTGTCTCTGAGGTGAAATCTAGATTCCTGCTGTGGCTCTGTGATGAATTCTTGCTTTGGCTTTTTAAAGCCTTCCGCTGGCTTTTTGGCTTGTCCTTGTGTGGCCTGTAAATTGTTCGTAGTGATATATTAAGTAGACAGGTATGGTAGCGTGTGTGTGTATAAGAATTAGGTTTATTTACTGTGTTGAGTTGCTGAAATAAACCATGCAGTGCTATATATCTTTCAAACACACCGGAGCATTGAATGATGAAACACACAGGGAGAGGCTGTGGTGGGTATTGATGTGTAATGCCCTTGGACCGAAGCCAAGACGGTGAAATGGAATGAAAGGAAAGCAGTCACTCCCCTGTTAACTCAAGGTTGTACTTTACAGGAGCTATATCTGTCTGTGTTGTCAATGGTACGCTTAGTGAATGTGCTCTGCGTGTCTGCCGCAACTATAAAAAACATCTAAATCACATCTGCCTGTTGACTTTGAAGATTCCCACCAATTTGCCTGTATTTTTCCAAGGCTGATGCGGTATGTCATGGCTTATCCACAACTTCTGAGCTGGCAGGAGGTTGGCGTTTGGCAGTTGCTTGTAAACACAGCCAGAGAATGAGCCCTTAGTGATCGGGACCCCTGCCAGCTCATAGAAGTGGCAGCGGATCATCCTCGGTTAATAGGCGCTCATAATCCTCTGTGAATGTCTTATGTTGTCCCCCGAGAAGAGCGAGACTAAGGCATGTATTTGCAATCAGCGTGCATTAAGGGCTGACAGTTTAACTGCTGCCATAACTGTAATAAACCAACCCACTGTTTGCATGCTGAATGGAAGCAAAATGAAAATGTAAAGTGTCTTTTAACAATGGCTCTCTCTTTTTTCCTTCCCACTGCTGCTTGTCATTGCCACAGGAAGTGGAGGTTAGTGTCTCTTTTGTAAATGTGTACACTGTACGGTCTGTCTTTCTTTTGACATCTCTTTCAGGCAGTAGGTGTCAGCTGTCCTATGAGTAAGGGCTCATCTTGGCAAAAGCACAAAAATTACATATAATACAACATCATTGGCCTTGAAAGAAGTATCTTTTTTGGACCCAAAAGCGATCAAATCACTCTATAAGTATAAACACAAAAACTATCCCTTTAACTCCTCGCCCTGTGCACAATATTTAAGATGCCTTCGGCTGTACTTGTTCAGCTTGACTTGAGAGCTCAGTCTTCGTGTCCCCTGAGCAGAATAAGACCGAGCTAAACTGAACAGACCTGATCCTCAGGGTCCTCTCTGGGCCTCGTGCCGAGTAGTAACCGCTTTATAGTTGATCCTCTCTGTCCTGACACACAGAGAAATGGGTCAGAATGGATACAGCGGGGGGACGCTGAATTTTTATTATCGTTCCAGTGCAATGCCGCCAGGGGCACAATCTAAAAACCAGAGTTAGTTTGCAAATATTCCCTCTGCAACAGTGCAGGAGCTAAGATAGTCCAAGTTTTTTTTAAAGATATATTTAAGCTCCCAGAGTCTTGCTTTGTGCTGTTTACTTAATGCTAGAGGCTACAACAGCCACAATAGTAATAAAAAAAGAATGGGATTTTTAGCACTTCTCAAAATAAGAGCCTCAAAGTGTTTGATAAAACTGATGTAAAGACATGTCGACAAGTTAACATTATTCTTTAGTTCAGTTGGATAGTGCATTCTTGACCTTGGAAACAGAAACTCCAGGTCCACTTACTTGTGCTCGAGCTCTCGTCAACTCAGTTGTCACATAACTGTAGATTTCAAACTTTCAAAAGCTCCAGAAGAAGTGATTAGGTCAACCTTATGTTCAGATTGTTTTGTCAACATTATTATTATTATAACCGTCAACTTTTTAAATGTCAAGAAAAAAATATTTTGTTAAAGAAATAGAAGAATTTCCTCAACGTGTATAACCAAAGCTATTTAGGATATTTAGTATACAGACATAATAGTGGTATGAATCTTCTCACTAAGATAAAACCCCGGAAAAAACACACTACACAGATATTTAAAGAAAGCCTTGTGAAACACATGTCTTTTCTAGTTATTATCTGAGTCAGCCAGCCTGATCTCCTCAGGGTATTCACACTGAGCCTACAAGCCCTCAGAGGCAAAGTCACCTCCAGAACAAATCCTTAAGGGGGGAACAGCCACGAGAGTTTGGCCTGATGATCTCAGACTACTCACTGGCTCATAGGACAAGTCTGAAATGTAGCTGCGCATCAGACCTAGCAGTCACTTAAAGGTTAAGGTCTGTTATTAAATAAACAAGCTTAAGATGATCTAATCTCCAAGGTATGTTAAAAGAATAGCCGTACAATTTTGACTTTTTTTTAAAAGGAAATGACAAAAACACACTACTTCCCAACTTAAAACTGAAACAAAGATAAGACAACACTTTATTCATTTGTTTTTTGGTGTTACAGCAGCACAAACAGAACAAAAGATAACAAAAACTATGCAAATAAGTTAAACATATTTTGGTCTAGTTAACCAAGGTTAACCTAAGCTAAGGTACGTTATTTGACAGAAATATGTATACATCCACCCCTTAAAATCATTTAAGATGTTATTTTATTTAAAGTATAATTGAATGTCATCAGCAAAAGGGTGAAGTTTTACACTGATAGTGATGAAGGACATGACTGAAAGGGAAATAAATTCTCTTTTTGATATTGATTCATTTTTCTATGGCTGTGTAAGCACATGGTTACATATCTGTTTCTAGTTTGTATTATTTATTTTAACTTAAAGTCTGAAATAAAGACAAGTCAATCAATTGAACATTTGTGGTAAATAAAATGTGGCAGAAATTAAATTTAATTAAACCTTGGATTGAAAAAAAATCCTAAAGTTGGTTATGATTTTTGTTCACTTGCTATCTCTTGTAACCCATTTATTCAGCATAAGAGCTGAACATATTTAAATTGCTAAAATTATACTAATTTAAACTGCCATTTATAGCGTGTATCAAAGTTTCTGTATCACTTGGCATGTCTGTTATCTTCATTATTTATGCTCTTCTGAATTTTTATTAAGCATGAGTGCAAGAACATACTTCCTCCATTGTGTTACTTAACATGAATTATTAAATCCATTAATGCAAATATGATTTCCTTCCAGGATGACTACATCAAAAACACGGAGGAGAACATGGGGTCTGACGAAAGTAAGTAAAAAAAAATATTCTGTGGACTTGAGGATGGCTGTGTGATTTCATTTTAAGTTTGTGTTTTCCTCTTACAGGCTGAATGTATGGGATTGCATTATTAAGCAGAGGCAGTTTGCCAAGACTTTAAATATTTAAATGGCCAGTTCTACTGTAAAGAAAAAAAGTGCAGTATTTCAGATTCTACCAGCATAATCAATGCTAAGTGCTGTCTGCCTTGATACATCTGCTCCAGACAATGTGCAATGCACATTATCGAAGTGCTGGCTTTTCTTAATTGCAGCAGTTGTTTGAGGTCATTCAGCATGAGGTGAGTGCTGGTCCGGGGTGTCAGAGCTTGTGGAGGGTGAGAACACCGTTGTGATTCAGGAAAAGAGAGGCTGAGCCTTCAGTCGGATCCATTAGTTTGAAAAGCCTGCTATAATTGCCTTTGTTGCTGAGGGCTCAACTCAGAACTCCCACCAGGCTCCATTTACCTCCATGGGGTCTGTTTCTTGTTGAAAAAAGGAAAAACTCACTTTTAGAAAATCAGCTGTGGAGGTGGAAGGAAGACTATTTGAAAATGCTGAACAGTTCTGTGTTATTTCAGTTAAATTTTTAACAGAACAGAAATTTAAAATTATATTAAAAGCAGTTAAGAATGCATACCTCGACAAACATTTACATCTTACAAATGTTGTCATTATAAAAAGTCAGGTTACCAAAATCATAAATCATATTATTGAGCAAAGCATTTAAAAAAAATTTCATTTTTCTTCTCCGGCTTTCACTTTTTTATATATTATTATTATTATTATTATTATTATTATAGAAATATACTTCCCAAGAAAAACAGCAAATGGTCTGAAAGTGCGGTGTCTGAGGTTTAAAGCTCAGATGTGGTTTATCTTAAACACAGTCGCTGTAGAAAGTTTGTAGAAAAAATAACTGCCACCAGAAGTCACTGTACCTGAGGTTTAAGCTAAACATGCTACACACGTGGTTTAACTGAGGTTTCAAAGCAGCTAAAATCAATATTTTTATATTAACAATGGATGACTACTTATATGAGAAAGGGAGTCGCTTCTGGTGATAATATTATTAAACAAATTTGTAGTTCCCCACAGCTCTACAGAACGTTTTAGCTTTTATGGCCTGCAAACGCTCACTGTTCTCATCAGCGTAGTTTTTTCTTATATACATCAGGTGGCCAAAACCACTGTACCAAATTAATGCTGATGTTGCTCTGTAACTGGAGTGTAAATAAGCAACTGTTTGCTAGCATGTTTGCCAAATCAACTTAAAGGACCAGTGTGGAGGATTTAGTTGCATCTAGCAGAGTATTTACAGATATCAACACCCTGGCTTCAACCTCCCCTTCCAAGAGTGAAGGAGAAACTACAGTGGCTGTGAAACACACACAAAACACAAAAGGCCCTATCTGGAGTCAGTTTTTGGTCTGTCCGTTTTGGGCTACTGTAGAAACATGGCTGTTCATCACGGTGGTCTCCATTGAAGGCTACCCACGTTGGCTGTGGATGTAGATGGAGAAAAAAAGGAATTGTCTTAATAATTCTCAAGACATTTTTTGTGAGCCAAATTCGAAACTAGATTGTGCATCATCAGTGTAGGCTACTGGTATGTCATGTTGCTATGAATCACCTATGTTGGCAGTTTTTAAAGTAATTCCATAGTACAGCTGGATTTGGCTGCAGTTCAGCAGTACCTGCGCTTGTTTCAACAGAGCAGTCACACTGAACTGAAGCCCTGGATGAACTGAACTGCAGATTAAACCAGTCAAATGCTAAACCTTCTATGGTGGAGGTAATGAAGTATGAATAATTCCACAGGTCAGGTTATGCAAAGCACTATTCATACATGATGTAGCCAATTGAGCGGGCCCTTAGGGTCAGCAGTGCGTTCCTGCTGCGAGGTGAGTGTGGGAGGTCGAGTGTAGCACCACACCCAGACTGCCTCACTTAAAATACATTGAAGACTTGCATCAAAGGAGAAAGATGTGAGAAGAAGCAGCTCCAGACGTTATCTCAGTCATCTGTTCTTACAACAGGGGGAATAACTAATGTAGTCTCAAGAAAACGCCTTGCTTGCTGTAGTGTGGGCGATGTTCATTTGAATACCATTGATTTCATCCCTGTCCCATCTCCCACTGGGACTAATCCCGCAGACCTAATTGATCAGGGTTCTCTTCACTGCAAATTCAACAAGACAGCAGAAATTCCAACATGGTGTACCTGCAAGCCCCGGATAGAACAAAAGACCTAAAACAAGACTTCAGACTCCTCCGGTGCTTTTTAAAGTGAGCTGATAGAGACATCAGATCAGCTCTGCAGAGTCTGTTCTGTGTTTTGAAAGCCATTTCAAAACAATAAGGTGCCTGCTGCTCTGACTTTACAGAAGGGCTGCCATATTTGACCTTAACATCCTTTTGTTAGCCAATAAATGAAACTTCTTTTCTGCCTAGAGCAAAATTTCACTAATTGGATTAAATGAAAATTGTGATAATGCTTCAATTTGTACAACAACTTCAGGAAATTATTCAGACATAATGTATTATAAAAGAAGTGTGTTATAATTAGAGGTGAACTTGTGTGTTCCATCCTCTCTAAATTTAAGTAAATAATTTTATAGTGCCATTGTAATTGAATAAAATCTGCATGCTGCTTTAACACAGCGACCACCAATTAAATCTAAGGGTATAAAAGAGTGTTCAAGGATGACAGTAATTGCAAATCTAGTTGAAACCAATTTACTTAAAGCTGTCAAATGGACCCATCTCTCTCATGCTTTTAATATTTATCAGAGCTTAATCTTTTCGGTCACTATTTCTTAGCAGCAATAACAGGTCTTTTGCAGATTTTCTTTATTTGTCCAGAACCTTTAAAGTACTTTGTTATTAGCTCTGACAATTTGAATGTGAAAAATATGGTTAATGAAGGCTTTTGATGGAGGATGCTGTCTAACTGAAAGGCTTCGTATTTAGTAGCGGATTCAGATGTGGGCACAGACGACAGGGAGAAAGCTCCATCGTGGATGAGAAAGTAGCTATGTTCTCTTATGTTTTCGATCGCAGCGTAATAATAGAAATCTCAGAGAGATTGGTCGCAAGTTCGGCGTAGTCCCATCGCCTTTGTTGACGTGATTACAGGAGGGTTTATAACCCATAGTGACCCATACAACCTACGCTGAATTCTCAATGCAGAACTATGTAAACAAGAACCAAGAGAGCAGGCGAGGTGGAAAACACACTTGATCTTTAATGCAGATTAAATCTCATGTTTGGATTTCATTTTCAGCATGTAGGAGTTGTATAAGAATGCTGTGTGAGAGACGTGTTTAAACTGTTGCTTGGAGGCAGACGTGAAGGTGCTCATAAATACTGGGAGCAATGAGAGAGCTGCACATCTGAAACTATACACCAAGCTTTGTTTCTATGGGAACAAACAGTAATGCAATGATGTGCGTTAGCATGATTAAAAAAAGATCTCATTCAGTGAAAGCTAGGCCATGAACTAATTAACATGATTATTAACGCATGGCTGTTTATAAAGTTCTCTATATTTTGACTAAAAACTCCTCAAAATTGTTTTATAGCCTGAAAAAATAGTGTATTTATCTTCTAGTTTATTCCAGTTTTTCTGTAATTGGTCGGCAGATTTTACATAAACCACAAAACTCTTGAATTTATCCTGCAATTTAAACCAAACATAGATACCATTTGCACATAAAGTATATCTACAATCCTGCAAAACTATATAACTCAGTGATTCATTGCACAATTCATTCAGCTACAATATTCATAAAGAGGATATCCTTCAAAAATAAAGGTTACCATAAACCAATGAGCATGTTTATATATCATTTTTATATTCATTCTTATGTAAAGCTGGACAGGAATGAGATATTGTCTGAAAAATAATGATTGCGATAAGGTATGCATGTATGATTTTGCTTCACTATGAGTATATTTTATTCATATTCAGATTGATATTTTATATTATTAAACTAACACATGAGGACAATTGTACAGCCTCTGTATCTGTGTGCTCTCTGAGTGCTTTCTGGCTTTATTTGATTCTTCCTCATACATTCAGACTGTGCAGTGCACGGCTCACTGCACAGTCTGTAGCTGTGGTTTCTGTGTGAGTGGACAGCAGGTACAGTGGCTGCTCAGTCAGTGGCCTAAAAATAATGAAATGGTACAGAAGAAAGTGGGGAATAGTTTAAGGTATATTACACCATTTAAAAAAAACCCCATACAGTTTGGTTCCCTGCCCCCATAAAAGTTTATGGTCCATAACTGGAACCCTTTTTATTAACAAAATGAAATGTTAAACCTCGAACTCTGATAGCAACCACCAACAAAATATACCTTGACAGTCTATGTATGATAAAGTAGACTAAAGCCTGTGGAAAACCTGAGTGATGAGTATCACTAAAGAGAACTGATGTAATCCTTTGAGGCACACTGAAAATATGAGACGTCTTTACTTCCTTTGTTGTAAAGAAAAAGTCAAAATGATATGTATGTTGACAGTTAAGGGTGATTTGGGGGAAATTTTGTGTCTTAAATCAAAAGAGAAATAGACAAATGTGCCGTCAGCAGTGCAGTCTGGATATTGTTCAGCCGCTGGGGTTAAATCACGACCGAGCAGAATTCCTGTTGGAACAGATGAAGTGAATAAAAGTCAAGTGGTCACAAAATATTTTATATGGAACGACTTAAAGGTTTCATTCAGCACTGCCAGAATCCAGCTGTCTGTCTATGAGCCTCTTTGCTGAACGTAAATGCTACATTTAGTATTTTTATGAGTTTCTTCCTCCCTGAGAAGTGGAATTTAGATCAACGTAAATGTAATTCTGCTATGATAATACCCAGTTCTGAGACGCTGATGGAGTCTTTTTTTTTATTTTTAACTATTTACTAGTTGTTGCCTTTGATATGGGTCAAGCATTTCTGGAGCTGCTAACTTATTTTTATACAAATAGAGCTGAGGTCCTGCTCTACTTTAGAGTTAGCTTCTGTTTTATGAACCTCCTCTGCTGAAGGTATATTTACAGACAGTACAGGGTTTCTTTAATCTGTAGGTATGAGAAGATTAATTCTTTGTTTTTCTGCTCACGTTGTAACTACTACAGTACTTGTGCTAGTAAATTTTGGGCATAAATAAATTCAGTATCGTGTTTCAGTCTTTCAGAGAAACCTTAATGCAACGAGAAAGAACTGAAAAGTCGAAAATGTTTAGAAATGTTTCATCTGTGTATCCAGATAAGCATCAAAATACACATACTGATAGACAATGATGTGATAAACATGGCACATTTGTATTCATGTGAGTGCAAAACAACAGAAAATTGTGCAAATGTAAAAACATCTTGAAAGGTTTAAGAGTAACTGCACTCAGTCTAACTTTTAGCCAAACTGAACTGAACTCCTTAAAGCACCCAGCCCCATGTGTGACCCCAGAACTCTGAACCCTTAGTATAGAACTAAAAACAGATTTTTTTTACCTGTTATTCAGCTGCTGGTTGTATTTTCAAAGGTATATTCTTGACCCCATAGATATAATCTCTATCTGCCCTGAATGATAAAATGTTTGCTTGGGGCAAAACCAACATTTAAATCCAATATTTCCACTCAACTACAGTAACAGCCTTGCTCTACTCTTCTTCAATGGTGAAATGGTAGTTTCAGAGCTCATATAACATGGGAGGCAACTAGACTTTGTTTTTTTTAAATTCAAAATGCATAAGAGAGTAACATTGGGTGAGAGATGGGATAAATTTGTCTGCGTTTTTGAAGGACTGAACTCAAACGGAAACCAATGTAAAAGATTAATTGTGACTCAAATGTTAGCTGTAAGCTGTAATAGTTCAAAAAGGATAAAGATATCAAAAAGATGATCTATAGTTGAATGCTGTTCATATGATAAGGTATGATGAAGTAGTATGACTTCAAAGAGGATTGGGTTTGGGCACTTTTTTTAATGATTTACCATTGTTTTGTGAAAATGATTAGTTAGACTTTTTTGTGTAGGTGTTAAAACCCCCTAAAATCTATGCATTAATTATTTTTTTTCCCCCTAAGGTTTGCGTAGAACACTATGTGAGTGAATCACAGCGTAACATAGAGTGCTCATAAATGGGGGCTAGGTATCCCAGAAGCTTATTTGAATGGGGCAATGAAACCATCTGCTATCCTGCATACTTAATAAATGCCTTGTGTAACACAGCTTGGAATTGTTGCAAGACTTCAGCTCTTTATGAAGTCCAGTCACCAGCTTAGTCTCACACCTGGTCCTATAGCAAAAGCACCACAAGCACACAGCCTCCTACCAGTATTTTTGAATTCCCTCAGAGTCGTCATGTCATCCATAAAAGTCCACTGTTCCCTCATACCTCCCTGCTGTAGCACCAGAGTATCACCTAGTCTCCAGATTTGCAGGGATCTGGCTGGCAGCCACCTCGTCTGTTGACCGTGTTGACTACAAAGCAGCTGCTCAAAGCTGACTCAGGATTTCACAGCTTAAATTTCTCTCTGCGACCGCCACTTGCCACTCACTCTTAAATTTATCTGAGCCTGTGAGTTTTCCGAGGCCTCTCCGGCAAGGCGGTAAATGGACTGGGACAATGTGACATCCAGTTTCGGATGGCATTGACCACAGTCTGAGAAAGGTGGAGGACACTGTGCTATTTCCATCTCAGTCTATCAGTGGAAAAGAGGTTGGCATTGAACAGTTCAACTCTCCAAAGATAGAGAGAGATGCTATGAGGGAGGGAGGGAGGGAGGGAGCGAGCGGGGAGGGAAGAAAGACAGGGAATGTGGGAGACAAAGATGGAGAGCGTGTGTGTTTGTGTGTGAGAGAGAGAAAAGGCAGACGGCGAGAGACAGTGATAAGTTGACATGGGGGAAGTGAGATGTGACAAGCAGAGAGAAAGAGATGCTCAATCAGTGCTGTCAGGGTTTCTCGCAATCAGAGACAGCCGTTGGAGACTGCAGGCAGTACTATTGACGATGGGCTGCCTCACTAATGACAGCTAGGCGTCCCTGTTTTCGGCAGTGCTGACTATAAAATCAATGGACTCATTTGTGCACACTGCTGGAATATTTTTCATTACACATTTCATGATTTTTATTGCATACGCTTGTGTAAAAGATAGTTTTGTGAGTATGGAAGATCATTTTAAACGATGTAAATATACAGAACTTGATTAATACAGCACAAGAAATATCTGCAGCTTTCTTGTGTTTTGTGTGGTGGTACTTGCTATCAATCTGTTGAAACACATGCACCTTGTCAAAACACAAATAAAAAAACAGCTGGAAGTTCTGTATTTTTCTCCTGGAGGTGACAAAAATAGAGAATTAAAGCAAAACACCTCAGCTGTGATTGACACCTCTGGATGCTTATGTGTTGTTGTTTTGTGTTTGCAGCCGTGGACACCACCAAGGACCCGTGCCAGAATGTGAAATGCAGCCGCCATAAGGTGTGCGTTGCTCAGGGCTACCAGAGGGCCATGTGTGTCAATCGCAAGAAACTGGAGCACAGGTAGGTGGTAGTTTCAGTGCTAAAGTCAGTGGGAGACTTGGTTTGTGTTTGCGGGACATATTGCCACTGTTAAGGAGATTTCTGCGCTGACAGGACGGACTTTTCTGTGGCGTTGGTGTCAACAGCTGTTAGCTGTGTGTCAGTTAAAAGCCTTTCAATGTCTGGTTGGAGAGCTATTGATTAAACTCAGTAACAAGGCCAGAGAGTGTCATGAGTCAGGAGTGATATAATTTCAGCTGGAAGACTCATGCTGAGCAATGACTAATTAACTGTCTGGTTGGAAAGTTATGAAACAGACAGTTATGGAAGCAAATAAATGCCAGATTTTGTTTATTTTACAACAAACTGAATACCTAATTTTGAAGTTTAATCACTACTGGGCACTTGATGTTTAAATTTAAATACCACAGAATGTATCAAACAGCAAATTACCATTGTAGTTCAAGTTATTCAAATCCAAGCAATTTGAATACTGGGTACTTAATATTATCTTTCTGAACCCTAAAAAATGTGTAAAAAAGTGTTTTAATTTGCACAACTTGGAATTCAGACCACAAAAATTCAGATAGATGGTTTTCAGAGTAATACATTTTAGAGCTATAAATTCAGTGGTGTTTAAATTGCAACATTAATTATTCGGTAGAGATTAAACTTCGAATTTAGATATTTAGTTTCATATAAGATTAAAATCTTTATGGCCCTTATTTGCTTCCATAGAATGTCCTTATACATGGCTTCTTTGAAATCATAAGAGTTATGCTCCTATAAGACACAGGAGAAAGAGATGCTATTTTTATGGGTAACACTTAATGTCAAGGGTACATACTTTATGATTAATTAATGGTCAACTAATACATGACTCATCATGATCTAATCTAATGCATGATGTATCATGAACTCCCGTGGTTCAGATTTAATTAATAATGAAGCCACTATTAGTTTAATTACTTAAAACTACATGGATCATCAGTTTGTGAACTCATACATTTATGTAGTTAATCCAGACTAAAATGAACATGTCATCAAATCAGATGTGAACTGATAAAAGTCTTCTGAGCTTATATTCTTATGCTTCCATGAAACTGAAGAGACAGACTCTGATAAGCCTCTGATGCTTATTTGGGCCGAATTCTGCATTTGGTCTTTGTTGATATATTCACCTTTATTTAGTTTATTTACAATGTGAGCAAACCTTAAAGCAGGGCTTGATCAAGTCAAGGCTTACGTTGTGTACGGGTCACATCGTATGGACTGTAAATACGAGCAGCTGAGAGGGAGGAAACATTCATATCAGAGTTACAGTTGAAATATGGTGAACTTCTGACACCTCCCATATGACAAAAATAATTGCAATAGTATCAATTTGACAGCACCATCGTAGTTCAAGTAATTAAATTCCAATATTTATATAAGAATCTATGCATGATTTCTTTGTAGCTTGTTGAGCATATTAACAGCTGCTTTTAGCAAAAAAAAACACTAACTGCTCCGAAGAGCCAAGTAAGAAACTCTTGAGTGGCACTTTCCTTGTTGTGATGTATGTTTTATAAAGTCCATGGAAGTTTATAAAGTACATTTTTTAGAATTTCCTTAAATCCTTTTGCTGTCTAAACTTTTCTTGACCCCAGCCATAACACTGACGTGCAGGAAACGAAAAATCAATCATTTACCAAAATCATTTACCATTTTTTAAAAGGAAATAAAAAAGGTACATTTTACTGTCCGTCACTTAGCAACAGTGTTCTTACTTCTCAAACCACTTGAGAGCAAAGTACTTGACTCCCCATGTCGAAAATAACACTTGAACTGAACTACCCGTGTTGATAACAGTTCTTTAGGAAACATGGTTTAGACTAATCAGTTGAAGTTGAAGCAGAGCAGAAAGAAGAGGGGTTGAAACCATTGTGGCCATATAATACATTTAATATTGGTGTTTATAGCATTTCAAATGCTCCTCCCTTCACAATGACCCTAGTTTTCTGTGATAGACCTCTCTGAAAAGTATTTATCTATTCGCTCACCCATTCATTCCACTTTGACTGAAAAACAAATGAGCAGGGATGCAGTCTCAAAAGAATTAATGGAGTGAATTATTACTACCTGCAAAGTCTATCTGCTGCGACAGGCATTTATCTTTTTCAATAAAGTGCTTCATTTACAGTCACTCCAGAGATGAGAGAGACTGTGTCAAATAATGGGTAATAAGCACGACAAGCAAGCACACTGAACCATCCTAGCGTCATTAAGTAGCAGCCTCAGAAGTTGTACTGCAGAACCTAATGCTTGTGCTCACTGAACATGAAGTCAATCATCGTGTGAGAGGAAAGCAAGCAAGGGGGATTTTATGAAGCTGTGCATCCAGATATTTACAGGCAATTCAGACAATTTTGGTTTTATTTACCCAGAAACCCGTAGACTTGTGCCTCTGAGACTTCTGTTGCCACCCCACCACAGTGAAAGCGTGTGAGTGCTCACAGCATTTAAAACATTCAACAGCAACGTGTCTTCCACAAACAATGTTCCGTTAAATTACATTTATTTAGCAGGTTCCTTTGTCCAACGCAGCTTACAATAAGTGCATTCAAACTTGACAGGAACAAGAGCTAGATTGCAGAAGTGCACCCGCAATAAACAAGCAACTAAAAACATGTTCAGTGCTGCAGTGTAAGTGCTTGTTTTGTGTTTGTTTGTTCCTGAAGAAATAAGACATAAGTAAGTGCGGTGGTGTCAAGATTTCTGGAAAGAGATTTTGAGTTTTTATCCTCACTAGCAGTGTGGAGTTTGGGAAGGCAATATCTGTCAGTGGGTCAACCCACTTTGACCCAAATATTTCAACAACGATTGCTGTGAAATTTCTGCACAGACGAGACATTCATGGTCCCAAGAGGATAAAGTTTACTGACTTTGGAGATCTGCTGACTTTTCCTCTAGCAGCATCATCAGGTCCAAATTCTGTCACATTCTTAACCAAACACCTGCAAAACGAATGACATTTCCATCAGCTTTTATGTTGCTAATTAGTTAACATGCTAAATTTAGATGGTTAAATTGATTTTACCTGTTGATGTTTAGGAGGCTTTAGCATTGTCATTGTGAGTACACTAGCACGATGACGTCCATTGTATTTGGGTGGCATGTCAGAATCAGATATCCTAATTCCTGAGAAAAATAAACTATCTGCATGGTTAGATGCCACTAGAGGTAGTGGCAAGTGATAAAATGTTGTTTATGTAATTTTGTTAGGCTGACATTCTATCTTTTCCTTTTTTTCGTTTCATGTTCAGAGTCAAACAGTCAGGGCAGCTGGAGGCCCATGAAAGCACCTGCAAGCCTTGTCCTGTTACTGCCTCCTCACCTGTATGTGGCTCTGATGGACACAACTACGCCTCTGAGGTAAAAGAAAATATTCTGCACCAGCATCTCTGTTTGAAAGCACTCACTTTGATAATTTTTCTTTTTCTTTATTGCTGGATTCTGCCTCCATAAAAACCCTGAAAAGAAATGGAAAGTGCCCGTGTCATCGTTTTAAATAATGAGAGGAGTCCAGTCAAGTGCTGTTTCCTGCTGTGCTGACATATACGTGGGCGCAGCAGGGCTGCACAGTTCATCACTGCTCGCGGGAGGACAAGTGCACCGGTCCAACGTGGCCGTATGATTAATGACTGACGTTGTTTTGAGTGGCATCACTGTACACTGTCCGCTGCCAGGAGTCTTTATTGATTTATGTATAGTTTTTAATTTTGACCTTGCATCAGAAGGCAGTGGAAAATGACAGCTCATTCATGCTGCCTTTCTCTAAGTGCAGTGTCTCATCTGAATGAGCAATCTCTTTTTCCTGCGGTCACCCCCATAAATATTTTAACTGCATCTCTCTCTCCTTACAGTGTAAGCTGGAACAGCAGGCCTGCCTAACAGGCAAAGAGCTGGGCATCATGTGCGCTGGCTTTTGCCCCTGTGCCACAGCATCAATGACCGTCACAAATACCGACACAAAACGTGGCAAGTTCCCTTTCTCCACCTTCTTATATTTATGCATCTTCATTTTCCAGTCTGTATTGCTGTCATCCCTTTCATGAGTCAAGGTTTCAGAAAAAGGAAGTTACGATGCAGTGGTGGCCATACAAAGCATGCTGTCAGTAGGATAGGGCTCACAGAACCAATCAACTCAATGCTTGACGTTTGGGATCAATACTCACCAATTTCAGAGATTACTGTTATCGAAATATCCCCCATGTGGTTAAAATGCTCTTTCAATCATGTAGTAATTAATTATTTAGAGTGTACACTATCTATCATTGTAGCCAAACAGTATTGATTGTTCAGGCTCTCGGGCACGTGAAAATGCCAATTGATGAAAAGGATGAAATGTTACTCCTGTTTTTCATCTGTAGCCTGGAATAAGTGCTTAGCCTGAAAGTGAAAGTGGATTTCTATTAGATAACAGCAATTTGCTGCAGTGGAATTAATTGCAAAATAATGTTTTCTTTGATTAGCAGATCATACAGTTATAAATTACAGCATTAAAATCCAACAGGAAGAGGAATATGAAGCAGGACTGAGTTTTGAATCTTTGGATTTCCTTCAATGCTCCCTCAGAGAGCTGCACTGGCCAGGACCTGGCAGACCTGGGTGACCGCCTGAGAGACTGGTTCCAACTCCTTCATGGAAACGCGAAGCAGAATAACTCTGGCAAGCTTGGAGCTGGCAGCGCTTCAGGTTAGAAACTCACAAAGCGGATTTATTGTCTGCTGCTTCCAAACTTACAACTCAATTGTCTATGCAAAGAAATGTAATATAGACAGAAAGAAAACTAAAGTACCATGCAAATTACTTCTGACAGCGCTGGACAAGAGCCTTGTAGCCAGCTGCAAGGACTCCATCGGCTGGATGTTTTCAAAGCTGGACACAAACAGTGACCTGTATCTGGACCAGGCTGAGCTGACCGCCATCAACCTGGACAAGTATGAGGTCTGCATCCGACCCTTCTTCAACTCCTGCGACAGCTACAAGGATGGGAAGGTCTCTACAGCAGAGTGGTGCCTCTGCTTCTGGAGAGAAAGTGAGTGAAGGGATCTCCACTGAAAAAGCATAGAGAGCTGAGTCTATTTTGAGTCACGTCTCTAAACGGGTGAAATAATAGCATGGTAACATCACAGGGAAGTAGAGGGTTTGCAATGACGTCACTTTATTCCACCCTCCTCGCCAGCACTGAGTGGAAAACAATCCTGCTGTGGCTGCTATGAACATGTGGATGATTCAATACACATGTACTGTATTTATGTATTTGTACCTTGACACCAGGAATAACTGTACCCTTAGAGGTAAAAATGGACATTTTGGGAAATATGCTTATTCACTTTCTTGCTTAGTTAAATCAGAAGATTAATATCATTCTTACACTTAAGTATCTAGAATCCGGATGCAATTAGCTTAGCTTAGCATAAAGATTGGGAGCAGGCAGGAAACAGCTAGCGTGGCTCTGTCCAAAGCTAAGAAATAGTTACAACGCTTAACACCTCCTAAAAACACAAACTTCATGTTTGTATACTGCCTAAAGAAAGGAGATACATCGTCTTAGTTAGTGAAGTTTAGAGGCACTGAGAGCCAGGCTAGCTGTTCCCCACTGATTCTAGTCTTTATTCAAAGCTAATGGCCTTCTGACTAGCTCCCTATTTATCACACAGACATGAAAGTGGTATCCAAGAAATTGAATAAACGTACCTCCCAAACTATTCTTTTGACCATCAACATCTACAAAGCACATTCTGGTTGTCTGTTGCTTCTGTTCCCTTTTACCGTTTGCAGTTTGGAGGAACATTTGCTTGAATTCTCCACCATTCATCTATTTTCCGCCATCTATCCAGATTCAGCAATATTCCCAGACATGATCAGCAGTTCTTCCCCCCTGCTGAGAACAATCTGGGCAAGACCTCTTTTATCTTTTATCTGACAGTTTGCCAGACTTTCTGAACTCCACAACCAAGTTTTGTATCTCCATCATGATGCAGAAAATGCAGTCCCTACCTGATTTAGGGTTCCCTTAGGCTAACCAAGCCTGAAAAGACTCCTTCTTTAACTTGACAGCTTCCTTCGCCACTTGTTTTCACCACTGATGTCTTTTGTTGTTGCTACAACAGGCACCAATAAATTCCTGGTCACAACACTAAGGAGCTGCATTTGCAATGAAAGCTTTTTACAACGCTCTGATTCTGTAGCAAGAAGAGTTCATGGACAGAGGCCTTAGCCAGACATTGCCAGTTCACCCTCACTCCATGCTTGGGTTTATTTGGTCTGTTCGGTTGCTTTTCCCCTCCCTGATCCTGAACTCACCACCAGGTATCAATCAGTTGACAGCTCAGCTCTTGTTCCATCGAAGCGTCCAACACATACAGCTATTGATGTTTGGCCTTTTGGTATTCTGGTAGCAGCTACATTTGTACTTTGCTTGAACATGGTGTTCCCTATGGACAGTCCATGATTAGCACAGAAGTTCAATAACAAAGCATCATTGTGTTCCCTTCAATCAACCCCCTCCTGGTTTCTCTGTCATTGATCATGTGGGTGTTTAGGTTCCACAGAAAAACTATTGTTTTTCCTCTGTGCAACATTCAGTCACGTAGATGCAGCTATCTCATTCATTGGAAAAGAAATTCTAAATCTATTTGTGCAGTTGATTGCACATCAACTTTTACCAATTTACTAATGTTTTTATTTTTATTTTTGTTTGTTTGTTTTTTACATATCAATGCACAATTGCACACCCTCTATACTTGTACTTACAACAGTAGGTCTGGCTTGACTCTTATTATTTTGAGAAAGACTTTCAATTGAGATCAAAGTTCTCTTTTTCGAGGAATTAAATTAAATGCTACATTTGTTAGCTGCATAGAAGTTGAAAGCAGATTACCAGAGTTACATGTTGACACTGTGAGGTCGGTCAAGAAGAATGTCAGGCAAAATGATCACAGAATGAATCTAAAAACCCCTGGTGCGCTTGAGTATTCATTTAGAAATGAAGCTCTTGTTCGAAGTCATGGTCCTGCCACTTTATGTGTTGCTATCATGTTGTAAAATGTAAAATGATCAGGTGTCTCCATGGGTGTTATCTCACTGATGACCTATTCTCACTGAGCTATTTCAGCTGTGCACATTTGCCACATCTGCACCATTTGACCTTTACTAAGCAAATACAGGATATTCCTGGCAGTAACCTCATTTGCGCGCCAATTATCCCATTGATCGGGCATTTAACCTGCATGCAATAGATTACACCAGTTCCCTAATCAATTTTTCATTACTAGTTGGTGATATTTATAAACTACTTCACCCTAAGCCATTAAGTAATAATTGTTTTACAATCATGATCTGGAACATGATGTCACCGTACATGTATAGAACTTATATCATCTAGTTTTGTGCAAATACACAATAGAAATGCTATAAAGACAGAAATATTTCTGTCAAAATCTACAAATACTGGGGAAGGTTTATCGCGCTGGGGGTCAATACAAAGTGTCTTTCTCTTCTTTGTTCTATTTCTATCTGTTCTAGAGGTTCATTTCCTTGTCGTTCTCGGACTACATCCATATGTTCTTTCACCTAAGCTCTCGACAATCGATCAGCCTCTGAGGGAATGAAATATAAGACTTCTTAAACAAATCAATACAGCAAAAAAGTGTAATTATGAAGAGCATTGATTGAGATAAAGTTTGGGGAGAGCAGTTTAAGGTATTGTCTGTCATCACTTTTCTTGTTTGATTCTCACAGAGCCGCCGTGCCTCGCTGAGCTGGAGAGGATCCAAGTGCAGGAGGCGGCCAAGAAGAAGCCTGGTAAATACATTTATCATTAGAGTACTTTGAAGTTCAATATATATTTGAATGAAGATATATTTTTCAACACTACACTTGCACAGACACACCTTTTGGACAGGAAATCACCACTGACTCACTTTAGATCCTTTCAAAGCTGTGAACTGCACCGTGTAGCCACCGTCTGCCCCTGCACTCGCTCCAGGTCTCTTGTGTGCTTAAGGTGCAGCAGGCAAGATGCTGGAAGAGGCTCATTTAAGAGATCACAAGTACATGGCTAGGATTAGGCCCTAATCAGGCTGGTGGGGGGGATTAGGGGGCAGTGCTGGCTTTGGGAAAGAGCAAGAATAATGCGCCCGTTTGGCTCTCTGAGAAACCCCATGCCACAGTATCTACCCAGCATGCTCAACACAGCTGCTTTTCAGCCTTAAGCTCCAAACCCAGAGATATGTTCTTCCATCTCCGAAGCCCACTTGTCTCATTGCTTGTGTCTCCTCTAGTTTTCACGGTGGTGGTGGGGGGATACGGTGCTTGTTAGAGAACTTCGCTTTGAGTTTGACAAGAGTGTCCTGAGGGAGGCTGAAACAGTGGAGCTCTGTCACCAAGGCTGTCACTGCATTTTTACATGCCACTCTCACAGCATAAGGAAACATTCTACGCCAACATACTGTATGAAATCACACCCCCCAGCATATGCATGCTTGTGTAAAACAAACAGGGAAGCTTTCTCTGCCTCTGTGCTATTCTCTGCCAAAGATCTGCCTCTCTATCCTGACTGATGGTCTTATCACAGGTTCACTAAGGCATGCTGGCATTCTTGTTTATGCAGCACTCATCTCAGGCATCAGCATGACGCAGCTATGTGTGCTAAGGGTATAAATATTTAACAACTAGGTATGTGCACGTCCTTGCAGGGATATACATTCCCAGCTGCGATGAGGATGGCTACTACAGGAAAGTGCAGTGTGACCAGAGCAGAGGGGAGTGCTGGTGCGTGGACCAGCATGGTGGAGAGATGATGGGCAGCAGAATCCATGGCAACCCCGACTGCGGTAAGATAAGGGGCGTTTGGCAAACATACATTTCTCACACTGTACACAATTTTTTATTTTTAATTTGTCTGTAATTGAGAAATATAGTAATATTTGCCAGTCCACATAATTCTTGTTATTCTCTTAAATTTTAGTATACTTAGTACATTTGCATGTTTTTTCATTCTTATTCTATCTTAAAGGTTTTAAAAGAAACAGCTGCATCCATTCAAAACCCCATTCTGGATTCCAGTATCAGAATTATGGCTGAAAGTAATGGTTATTTCTGTTTACAATTACTCTCAATACAATTTTATGAATCAAATAATCATTTAGTCTATAATATGTCAGAAAAAATGACAGTAAAGTGTAATGACAGTTCGCGTAAAATTCACATTATAAATTCCCAAAGCCGAGTGACGTCTTCGAATTCCTTGTTTTGTCTGACGAACTGCCCAAAACCCAAATATATTCAGTTTACATTGATATGTACCATTAAAATACATAATATCTTCACGCTTCAGAGGCTACAGTCAACTAATCAACCAATCAGCTGATTGTTTCAGTATTAAAGGTCCTAGATGCCACTAAATCCTACAGACTGGTCCTTTAATACAAAATCTAATAAAAAATTTCATTCCTTATGTGTTTATCCTTTTCCAGATGAAGTGGCAGGATATTCTGGAGATTTTGGGAGTGGAGTGGGATGGGAGGATGAAGAGGAGAAGGAGGTAGAGGACAACGGAGAGGAGGCGGAAGAGGAGGAAGAGGAGGAGGGTGAGGCGGACGATGGCGGATACATTTGGTAGAACTGTCTGACCCCATGCCGAGAGCCGAGTCACAGCTGCTGGCCTAAAAATCTACAGGGATAGCTCTCTCCTTACGGCAAAAGATTTTTGGGATCGGACTTGGGAGGCATGGAATTGTGTTTCATCCTGGTGGGATATGTGGTGCTGGTCCAGGGATGAGACGATGTCCAGTTTTTGTCTTAGATATGTGTAATTGCTTCATTCTCCTCTCTGTTTTTTGAGCAACGGAGCTTTTTGTTTTGCCGTCCTGAAAAGCGGGACCCACTGACTACTGCGCCATAGGTAGCTAAAGTCCATCAGAGTTCCTATCTTGTCCGACCGCCATCTATGCATATAGAGATTACCAGTAATTTTGTATTGTGTGAACAATTGCTTGAGTATTAGAGCCGTCGTCTCACTGGAATGACCAGAGATCAGAACAGTTAAACATTTTTGGGAAATACGCTTATTTCTTTCCCAGAGTTTTATGACTCGACACCACTCTCGTGTTAAATATGATGCTAGAGCTAGGTGATGGTTAGCTTAGCTTAGCATAAAGATTGGAAACTGAGGGAAACAGCTGTTTTGCTCTGTTTAAAGGTAAAAAAAAATCTCACTAATCTCGTGTTTGTTTAATCCTCACAAGTTTAAACAAACGGGAGGTAGCGACTAGCTGGTGAACATAGTGGAGCATTCAATGTTAACTGCTAAATGTTTCCCTCAGGAGTTGGTGGAGACCAAAAATAGAGCAAAAAGAGAGTTAGTATTGACTTACATTTATTTTGTGGACAGAAAAAATTATTCCAAATGAATGCTTATGTTTGATAATAAGTCCAACATATCAACTTAAAATGTGATGATACTGTATGTGTTCATACAAGTGGTCAAAGAAATTTCTTATTGCTGCTTTGAGTTAAGCTAATCTCGGAGTGATAGCAAATAAGTGTATTTCCCCAAGTGTTGAACTGTTCCTTTAAAGCAGTTCAGTGCAATGTGGTTATGTATTTCCAAACTGATTCTGTATATAAATGCAGTGTAAATGATCTGTGAAGCAAGCTTAGAGGATTTCAGGTCACTACGGTTTCAAGCTACCTTTATGATAAAGGTGCGCCACAGCACGCAGCAGTTTTTAAATTGTACATGCTTTAGTGGATAAACACAACTATACAGGACCTACATTTCCAGTTGAATTACTTTTATTGAAAACATTGTAGAATGTACTTTAATGACCCAAATTGCACCTACAGTAGAAATCACTAGTTGCTCTCCTCTGCTAACTCTGAAATCATGTCAAAGAATGTGCCACAACTATGTTTTATTATTACTTTGCAACATGAAAAACTGTATTTTGTGTTTATATATATATAAAAAAAAAGTGTGCATTACTTGAAGTTCTGTGTGTATACTTGAATTCACATTGTAATTTTTTTCTATGAGGATATTGTTGCCATGTGTTCATCCATGCTATTGGTAGGCCAAACATTTGGTTGTTTTTAGTATTGCATGTTAGTGAATAAGAATGTACTTCTAGGCTGAGCACTTTACTAATAAAGGCACTGGAGCCAAGCTGTGTGTCGACTTTAATCTTTTCCAACTATTTCAGGAATGAAAATGATCATCCAGTGTGGAATTTAGTTGGTTTTGTGGCTACTGTACCACCGAGTCACACTCCGTCTTCCTATATATTTAATGATGAGTATTTTTGAAACTATCCCGCTAGATAAAGAAAGGAACACTGTGCTTAGGTGCCTGTGGGGAAATTAAATGAATTCTTAAGATAAAGGCAGGTTGATTGCCCTCACTGTATGAAGGTGGTCAGGAGAGGATATGTATCACAGACTGCAGCACTCAGCTTTTTTACCTCAGGAGATCCATATTTTCAAATTTAGCCTGTGCGCAAAAAACTGAATTTGAGCATAAATGAACTGACACCCCAGCCTACCTTACATGGAGTATTTTGCTTATAAAACATAAGCTTATGTGTAAATATGAATATTTTGGAACACAGAACTACTTTTTCATGACCTTTTGGTCCTCCACCTGGTGTGTGAAGCACTGATTACTGTAGCATATTACAGCTAAGGCCTGTAACTGCCGCAATTACATCTGATTATGTTTAACAAGGCATTAACTAAATACAATCTACAATCATGGAGCCTGTAGTGGAATAAAAGCAAGAGGAAGTTGAAAGCTACTGAGCTCGGTTGAGTCGCTGACAAGCACAAGGGGATATTTTCTGGGGATATTTAGGTCCACAACTGCCACCTCATGCTAGGAGAACAAATTACAGCCAAATGACTTAAATGACCACAATGTGAAAGACAACACTGTGAAGGCAAGTGGATGATAAAATCTGCAATTAATGCATCTGTACTAATTGGAAATCCAACAATCACAAGTAAAGGTCCTGGATTAAGATTTTTAAGTTCAAAGTAAACAAGCATTAACAGTAAAATTAACTCAAGAGTGACTATCAGTGTCAAGTTACTAATGCTTTACCATGTACCTGCAAAAATATCACAGGCTCTTTCAATAACAACTCTTAATTAACTTTTTAGATAAGGTCTAAAGTGCATTGTAGAAACAAGGCGAGTTCCCTGAAAGAGATACAATAGATTTTTGAGATACAAAATTCAATTCAATTCAATTCAATTTTATTTGTATAGCGCCAATTCATAACAGAAGTTATCTCAGGACACTTTTCAAATAGAGCAGGTCTAGACCGAACTCCTTACAACAAAATGTTCACCAAATAACATAAATAGCAGCCATATTTTATCTGTAATGGAATAAAATGTAGTAGAAGAAAATTAGAGAAACGAGTCTCCCAAAAACAGAAAAAAAAAAAAATCAAATACTAGTACCTCAACACTATATTTTAAATAAATCTGGTATCAATATCTACAGTGTGAAACTAAATTTATTTATACACTTTTTTTAAAAACGATGCTCTTGGTTTTAGTATAACAGGACTAAGGGTCTACAGCCATGCCATTGGTTCTGTGAGGTTGTATTTATGCACTGAAGTACTTTGATGTAAATGCTAACATAATGTTTACTATGTCCAACATGGGACACATTTTAAATTTGAGCTAATGATTGCACTGGGTAAAATGTCAGGGCATCACTGAACTGATTACTATGGACTGCTTGCACATTCCTGACTTGTCAAAGCCAGAAAACGACAGCTCAGGTCCGTTAAGTGTGCCAGTAACAGTGAGAATGAACACGCTTCTACAACCAGCACACACAATTGCAGGACCTCTCCTAAGTGGATTGCATATATCATTAATACACCTGTGAGTTTCCTGCTGTGACATGTCAAAGTGTCTGCTGTGCAACCAGTCCATTCATCCTGAGGGGAACATGAATGTCTGTACCAGATTTTATCACAATCACAATCCAACAGCTGTCAAGATATTTCACTAAAAGCTAAAAATGTCAACCTTAGCCAGGGCACCACCAAAGTCAACTGGATACAATCACTGAGCACAATTTTGTGACAATCCATCCAGTAGATGCTGAGATATTTCCAGCAGTGAAATCATTTCTTACACTGACAGGCAGCCAGTGAAGGGCAGCAAGGTTTGGGGTAATGTGTGGTCACTTCTCTAGGAATGTGTAAAAAGCATGGAAGCAGCACCCTGCAATTTTCAGCAGCTGATTGATGTTACAGTAAGGCGTAGCACAATAATTAAGCCTGGATATGAAAACAACTTTCCCCACATCGGAAAATGAAAAGAAAACCTCAGTGATGTGCCAAAACAAAGCATGATTGCACCACTTGAGAATCTAATAACAGATCTGAATCAAAAATATTTCAGCCTTCTGGCTTCACATTAGTCGATGGAAAGGCTACTAAGACTATACAGATACAGTGCTTATAGAAGTATTTACCGCATAAGACTTTTTGTGTTGTTGTTTTTTACATTAAATCAAAGTGGATGTAATTTGGATTTTTATACTTAAATGTCAAAGTGAAAACAAATCTCAGTAGCAAGCAAAATACCCATCAAAGAGTCAATATTAAGGAGGCATCTTTGGCATTTTTTGACCTTTCAATTTTCTGCCCATGCGTCATTAGACCCATTCCTTATTGAACTTTACTGGTCAAATAATTAGCATATTGTTGTGTGTTGTGGTTTAATTTTTCTTGTCTCAATGTACCTCAATTGATGTCTATCTGACTTAAACTTTTAACTATCTGCATATAGTGAGAGACCACAAACTCCCACTGAAGGTACGCATAAGGGTGACACAGACTCACAGAAAGCAAAGAGAATTGATACAACAGGATACAAGCAAACCGAGTTGTCCCAGAATACAATTCACTTTAATATAGAAAATCACTCTATTATATGCCTCTTTCCCAAAGAATGTAAAACAATATTTTATTCTGGCATTTCTACAAACTTTTTAATCTTTTTTTTTTTTAATCATATTTGAGATTGTACTTAATTTGGAGAAATTTGTTTTCATGATGACAGTAAAGTCTTCATGATTCATCATTGCAGAATTACACATGAAAAAGTGTACTGAGGGTGAATTATCTGTACAGCCTCTGTAATTACTGGTATTAGTACTGAAGGTGACCCAGGATAGAGCCCTGGGGGATGCCACAGTACCACAGGGGCACTAAAGGATCAGGCTCCTCCAACCACAGCAGAGAATGTCCTGACCACTTGTCACTTTCTCACCCCAGGAAACAGGTCTATCTTGAGATATATCTCCTCTCTGGTTTCATTCACACTTCATTGTCTGTCAGGCCTAAAGTGTGTAGCAGATGCTGAGCAAATTATGTAAAGTCACATCCTTAAATAATGTAGAGGTGCCACTTAAGTGGTTTCTTTGAACCCACGAAGAGAGAAAATGTGGGTTACTTAAAACTTATATACAGAACGAGAAATAAGGGTGAGAAAAAGGCCTTAATTGGAATAAAAAATAAAAAATGACACATGGCCAGCTGAATCCCAAAAAAGTTGTTTTTATTACAACATTTTAACCTCTCATTACTTAGATCAGTCTTTATGTGTGGACGTGGTCATTCAAGTTACAACTATTTTCACAGATAATTATTTCAAGTTACCGTCAGTAATAAATAACTACTTACTATTAACGAACTATATTATTAATAACATTTTATAGTGTCAGCTAAAGGGAAGTTACTGTACAAAACATTTACATCTCTATTATACATAATTTACAGGAGTTCAGCGACTGGTACAGAACACTGTTCAAAGGAAAAGCAGTTTGTTTACATGCATACTGTGTCTCAGTAAACACTCAGGATTCCCTGTGTAAATTCTGTTTCATATATCTTTTTATCACAGCCACAAATATCCCTGCATATGTTAATAAACAGAATATTTAAAATCTTACCCTGTAAACATGGGGTGCAGGAAACAGGAAAAGTCAAGGAACAAAAATACTTCAGTATCCAGAACAAGATTAGATGATTCATTTACAGGTTAGTATATTAACATTTGCAAGTGCACTCTCATATCTTTTCAGATAGTCAAAAAGTGCATCACCCGTAGCACTTCAACCCTGTTGCACAGCTTACATGCTGATTACATGCTGATCTATTGCTAAGGCTCTAGACTAAAGGAATAAATAAAAAAATACCCATTAATTTCATTAAGGGTGATTATAATAAACAGGCTCAGACATTGATTTATTCTTTCCTACTCTTAAATACAGTGGCGTAAGATTGTCTCTGCTACTGTATCATGGGTCATTCTACTTTATTGCTTCCTGACATTTTAAGGGCAATTCATTATTACAGCCTTCATGATATAATAAAGCAAGGGCAGCCATTGAAGGTCATTAAAGTTCTGTATGAACATTTTATCTTTGACTTCTGTAGTGAACACCTCAAGGTCAAAGATAATGAAGACATATTTCAGTCCAACTAATACACTTCAAATTAGCTGCCTTCAGCTCAACATATAACATCAGTTTAATTCAACACATATAGAAAGATGCAAATATTGGAGCAAAAGAGACAGAAAGTGAGAAGCACATCATTCAAAGCACACTCATAGTGAGCAGTTCAATTTGACTCTGTTTACTCCATCATCTTTGCTTTATTTGTGGGAAGTGCTCTCTTTTCTTCTTTTTTGGTTTCTACAGGGGATTTGACGTTATATTGGCTCAGTGCTCAGCATGGAAGATATCTTTTGTTAAAGTCCAAATCTCTCTCCCTGCTAATCCCAAAGTCATTAGCATACATCTTTGGCTATATGATTTGAAGGCAGTGGCTTTGTAGCATTAGATTAAATGAAATAAAATTAATCTTCTGTATTTAGCTATTTGTCTAATTTTAAAATCTCGGCCATCTTAATCCGATGTCAGACAAGCATTAAACTACCCACCACAATCATCACACTCCTTATTTTGTTCCTAATAAATTCCAACTGGAGCAGTTGTTTATATTCCATAATAAATAAAGCAACAATGATGTGTACATATCTAAATTCTTGCATAATGTATGACCGCTCATGTTACAACTCAGTTAATGTTCACATTAATAAACACACATAGGACAGTTCACCATGAACCACTTTTAAAAGTTTGCATAGAAACCTTTAAATCCTGAATAAATGCTTTAAGTATTAAAAAGAATATGCTTTTAATATGCTCTCAGTAATGCAGTTTAAAATTTGGGCTAATTGACACTGGCAAAGAGACAAAGTCTTTGTCATGATTCATGAAAATGTGTCAAGGAAATCCCTTCTGGTTATGCTTTAGTCCTGCATGTCAGTCGATGTACTGTGATAACCATCTGAAACCTTCCCCATAGCCTTGTTTTTTCAACACGCTGCACATAAAAATCTCTAGTGGTCGGGCGTTCAGCTCCTTCACAGAGACATTTCCCTGTTGATAACAAAGCAGATGAATGAGGACGATGATCATCAGGAATCAGGACATGTACCTTTTAATATTTTTTTTAAACTAATGGGTTTAGTGTATATATGAGGAGATCACATTATTTCAGCGAGTTAAAAGACAGGATTTATGACACGCCTACCTTTCCAGTAACTTGTCCATCAAGAGCAAATGCTCCCCTAAGTCCTCCTTCACTGATTGCCTCAGGACGGTCAATTTTATTACCCAACACCAACACTGGTACACTGACTATGGTCTCATCTGCTAGGAGAGCCTAGAAACATAAAGAGCAGCACAATCATAATCAATCTACGGTAACAGACAGGAAACAGCGTGTAACAGTGATGTTTAATCTTACATCGAGTTCAGTCTTGGATTCTGCGAGCCTGTCGTGATCTGCACAGTCTACAAGAAAGACGACTCCATTCACAGCCGGCAGGTAGTTCTTCCACACTCTCCGAGCTATCAACAAAGAAAAAGTTTGTCCTTGCAGCAATTCAATAGCACAGAGAATGCCCTTCTCGGCTTTTAATGCAGCAATTTTAACTAGAAAACATTAACTGCATCCTTTACAGTCTCTGAGTACAGTCAAAGTGACACAAGCTTCGTATAGTAGTATGGTGGTTCAAAGGTTCTCATGTCTAAATGAAAAAGCAGAGGTGTTTACAGAAATTGTGGCTAATTAGATGTCATTAAATTACGAAATAATAACAATGACAATATACCTTTTTCACAGCAGCAATGTTGACATGTAATAGTAGGGTAAAGACAGGTGTTACTAATGATACTAATTAAGCTTCTGTCACATTCAGGTCAAACAGAGTCAGGGTGCTGCTATTGTGCATGTTGCCTCCCTGGAAAGGCTCAGCTACACTAAATGGAACGGAGCCTTAATTAGTATAATTCGTAACACCTGTGTTTACCAGCCTCTCCTTTCTTCATCTACATTTTCTGCAGCACTGGCACAACATCTGTGAATGGGAGCTTCCTGCCTTTAAATTTCCATTGAAATGTGCTCAATATTTTAGGCTCAGTAGTTCCATCATAGCTGAATTACCCAACAGCAGTGTGGAGGCTACAGAGACACCATGTGGCAGCCACAGGAAGTGTGATTAGTCAACTTGCCTCCTGTTTTCTTCAACATGTGTCTGATGAAAGTAGAGATTACTGATAGTGAAGGCAAATTTTATGCAACAATTTGAACACGATCACTTCTACTGTGGATGGATGAGACAGACTTATAATGTATGACAAATCCATGTAATTTTGGGGTGACACTACGACAATCTACAAGTTAGTCCTACACTTGAACTAAAAACTTATAGTCTTTAAGAACAATTTGGCTGAAAAGTATGCATCCCGGTTTACAATATGGTTTCACCATAACAACAACAACAAGCGGTGACAAAATGGAGAAAGACCTCACCTTGTACATGTCCTCCCAGATCAAATGTGGTAAATGTCATCCCACCAATTGTCAGCTCTTCAGAAGCTTTGAGAAAAAGAAGATAACATTTATTTTTAATCTGGAGATTGTATTGCCTGCACAGTAAGAGCAACAAAGCTGAAACTTACAGAGTAACTTACAATGCAACACAATATTTTGCCCACATGATATCAGGTAATTCTGTGATATGGTATATATTGTAAGACAGCCATCTACAATAAATAACAAAAATCATTTTCCAAAAAGAAGGAATCAATCATACTGTGTAAACTCACATGCAACAGCGTGCACCAAAACACATGGAGACTTCCGCCTTTAATATCAAGCTGACCCATCTATGTTCTAACATGTCAACCAGGGCGACACAATCTGAATGTCTCCTTACTTGGATGCAGCGTTGGCACGTGTTGGCCGAGGCGGTCATCTTTCAACATATGTAGAAGTGTTGTTTTACCAGCATTGTCCAGGCCCAGGAAAACCAGCTTCCCAGACTTTTTATACAGACCTGGAAGAAATATTTCACAAATGTATCAGAAATTATGGCTGAAATCCAAGTCATTTTTTAATCCCTGAGGAAGAACATAACCAACACAATACTATTCACACAAATACTGTACTTGAGTTCATTTCTGAGGAACTGGGGACTTTTACTAACCTGACTTACACAACTATGCATTAGTTACATAGCAGCACCTGCACCACATACAGTTTAATACTGCCAACATGTCAATAATTTAACAAAGAAAACTTCTATTTCTTAAAGTAAACTACTCTTTGATAAAGTAATGGTGGTATAATACGTTTCCATCACTTTTTGTTGCAAAGCTGCAAACGCTACTTACCTAAGAACTGTAAAACACTGCTAAACCCCCTGTAGATCCAGTCAAATAAAAATGACATCTTCACAGTCTTTCGCTGAAACAAGAAAGAGGACAGATTAATAATACACAAGTGAGTGACCAGAAATATAGAAATGCCTGCCCTTGACACTGTATCCATGAAGTCCTTGTGCATTTTTGTAACTCTTGAGGGCACGGTTTGTGATGATGTTGACATTATATTGTGAGGTGTTTCTAATATTTTACCCTGTATGTACGTGGAGAAAACAGAAACACTCACAAACATAATGCAAAAAAAAAAGTGCCATAGAATTGGATCAACATACATCCAGTAGCACAAAAAAAAAAAGGAACATTTTTAAACAGGGTATTATTTATTTGCAGAAACAACCTTTTGCCTCAACATAGCAGGAAAAGCTGTAGCTCTGTGCATACTGAAACACTCGATGGAGGTATGCAATTTAATTTATTACACCTCCAAACACCTGCCCTCGGTGTCACCGTTATGTCACCTTGTGTCAGTGTGCTTCACGTGCTGGCGAGCCGACAACAACGGTGCGCGTTAACGTTAGATAACCCTTTTTTTTTTTTTTTAGCCAGTTAGCATTAGCATGTTAGCCGACGTTTAAACCTCTGGCCCACGCTAGAGCATGATCCCACGTGTGTCGGTGCAAAGCTTAACGGTCTATCGAGTTGCCCGCAAACTCATTAGTGAATATGTCAGCAGTGCGATGTGTTTTTATTGCGTATTCGCGTCGTTATTTCCTAACTTTGGACGTTAGCTGACTTACCCCTCGGCACTGACCAGACAGCAGCCCAGCGCTGTAGTATCGGTGGTCTCCTTGGAAACAGTCGATCAAGTTCCGGTTCTTCTTCTTCGTGGTTTGGAGTTAGGCGTTTGGTATCCAGTGTCGCTGCATTAGCGCCCTCTCTTTGACAGTGAGCGATAATCCCTCCTGCACACGCTGTTCTAGAAATGTCAGCTGCTGTGTGAGAATGAGATCAGAGGAATAGGAATCTTATAAAAAAAAAAAAAAAGGGCCTACTTTTGCTGAACAGGAAGTATACTTCATTTATTGGCCCTGTAATTTTCTCATAAGGATGTGGAAATAAAAATAAATAAATAATATATATTCAATAAATGAGATATGTATCTGAATGCAGAACAGTAGGATAAGGTAGTTGATATTCCTCTAGATAGTATTAGAAATGCATACCTCTGACCTTATGCAAGTAGTCTAACATTGCATTATATTTCCATCTTCTCTGTTTGTTCCCTTATAGAAAAAAAGTGATACACCTCTCTGTTACCTAGTAACATTGACAACCAGTGTACATGTAAATGTGCTTAAATAGATTTGCTTGTTTTTAGCACATTGTGAACAAAAATTGAAAGTTTTTAGACTAGATCAGGTCACCAGGTCATCAGGAAAGCAAATGTTTTTAGCCTCTATTGAAGCTTATTGTTTAATTTCAGCCTATAGAGGCATCCCATGGAGCTTATCCACTTACAGCAAAAGACTATACAGTAATAACCAGTCATTTGTACTGTTAAGTACCTATTACATTTCAGCAACACTAAATACATCATTTATTGGAACTGCCCAAAGGCAGTAGTGCAATTTGTTGTACGTCCACATGAGTTATTGGATGGAAGTCTGTACAGAAATGGGTGTATGTGTCTTGTTTCAAATATTACGAGGCATGATTTCTTTTCCATCAGGACACCATTATCCATTTTACATCCATGTTCTTTAGGTATGTTCAAGTCTATGTGATAATGGCATTATGTAACAGTGGCGGCAAAATAAATACAATACACAATACCCTGGAATTGAATGGTTTATTGTAATCTTCTGTCAAGCCTGAAATTATTGCTACTATCCAACAACAAGCATCACAATCAAGAAGAAAATGTGACCTAAAATATAAATCCAGTCTATCCAGTTCATGTGGTGTTCTGATGTGTTGAAATGAGATGAAGTGAAGGAATGAATGAAGGTTCCTGCCCAGGATTTTCCTCTTATATCTCATAGTAAAACCATTTGTCGACTGAAATAAAAAGAAGAAAATTAAGCATATGAGATTTCCTTGGAGTAACAACATAGAGTAGCTGAAAGAATACAAATAAATGAACAAAGACTCACCTGAACTTGGAATGGGATCTTCATCTCCAAAAGCACTTGCCTGTAAGAGTTAAATAAATCATGTTAAAACCAACACCCTTGTTGCAGAAAGAAACACTAATCATTCACTAATGGTCCTATCCTTTTGTCCGAGGGTGTGTGTTACCAGGTTATAAAGAACAGTACCAGGTTACACAGAATGCTTTTATGTTTATCATCTCTAATCTAGTCTTTAGTATCATTAAGGAAGGGATGGTCAATTTCAAAATAAAACAGACTTACAGACTTAACCACAGCCTCTGCATCCCCAGCAGAGCAGCAGAATGGACTATCTGAGACACTGGTATTCATGCTGATTTAAGAAAGAGATTAAACAAAGGAAACACTTTCAGCTTTAAAACAATAGTCTGTCCTATAAGCACCTCTTAACCAGAAAACTGTTTGGTGACCTAGGAAGGCACCATTTTATCCGCAGTAAGAAGGTATTTAACAGTCCATTAACTTGCAGTTGATTTACACTCTCCTGTCAGCGCGCTGTCAACTTTCAGTCAGCGCTTGATAATTATCTCAAGGATGTCATGAAAGGAAATATCAGCATTAGCATTTGTCACATATACTGTCACATAATGTTTGCATAATGGAGCACAAGTTGAGCTACTCACCAGTTTAAGTCGCCAGCACTGGTCTTCTTAGAAATCAGTGCCTTCCAAAACTCATGAGTGCTCTTGACTGTTTCAATGGCAAAGTCCTGGAAAAACAAAGTTTTTAATTATAATAACCAAAGACCTTACTCTCCTTATTCCAAGAAATCAGGATATAATAGCTTTAAGAGCCTTTATTAAAAATAGTAGATATGCTAACAGGAAGGATAAAGCAAACTGAATACATATTATATGATAAAAACTGGAAACATACATAAAAACTGTTAGATCAATAATCCAAATATCCTATATCCTAATATGTCCTATCATTTATACTAATACAAACACTAAGAATACAGGTTTGAAATGCATACCCTGTCCTTGAACTCCCCATTGAAAGCAAACTGATTTTCAGGTTTCCCATCAGGGACTTTGTATCTTTTGAACCAATCAAAAGTTGCCTCCAGGTATCCAGGCTTAAGTCGTCTTACATCATCAATATCTGTAACAAATCAGCAACACAGGAGAGCTCTAAAATTCAGAATAATTTGTGGAACTGATGCTATATTTTCCAGCAGTGCTAGAAACTTCTATTATTCATACTGTTAAAGTCGGCGGCTTCAGGGTCCTCAGTATTGATCACAATGACCTTCCAGTCTGTTTCTCCCTCATCGATCAAAGCCAGAGTTCCCAGAACCTTCACTTTGATTATTTCTCCCCGAGAGCACACCTGAGAATCAAAGGCACATTTTTGAGAAAGCTGCAAACAGTTGAATTTAAATCAGTCTCTTCAAAACCCCTCATCAGAGATGTTCTGGCACCTTATTTCCTATGTCACAAATATCGATAGGATCGTTGTCTCCGCAGCATCCTGTGTCACTGTCCTTGTGATTGGGGTCTTCCCATGTCTGTGAGAAGAGAGAGCACATGTTTGATGGAGCAGAGACATGGTCTGGTTTCGTGTTGTTTGAATATTGTCGGAGAGGGACTTGCCTGTGGAATAGCTCCATAATTCCAGATGTAGCCTTTGTGAGGAAACACATTTGCTACATAACGAAGATTCCCCTTCTTAATGTCTTGTTTCAGTGGATTTAGAGGATCTTTGGTGGCAATCTGATAAACACAAAGCCAAAACACTGTTACATCATTACTAAAAACAGAAGGAAAAGCCTGACCCACAAAGTACACTGAGTAAACAACCTATTAGCTAAAATATAGTCTATAGGCTATGTATTAATCCATGAATACGCTGATAATTTGGAAAAGTATGTATATGTACCTCCATCTTTGCATTTGTCCATCTTGGAACCTCGACAACAGCATGAAAAATATTCTGCAAGATGATCAGACATATAGTTTTGTTACATCAGGGATAAATTCTCATTCCTTTTTAAAAAAATAAATAATATCTATAAAATATATTTTACAAAGATGTACATGCACAACAGTAATTACAGACAGGGCAAAAAAAGAAGGATGCTGAAAGGAATGGCTGATGTATACAGTACATATACTAGTGTATACATCAGCCATACTGCATGTGCTTATATTTTCATTAATTATTAACTATTTATATGTACAGTCCCTGTCAAATAAAGTAATAAATTAGACTAAACTTAGAAAAATTCTACTCTTAAACCTGTATTGTGAACCATCAAGGCTCAATGGAGCATTTTTACTGTGCCAGTTTCTGCCTGAACTAAAGGTATAGCCTAGTCACTAAAGTCAGTTAAGGTAGTACATCAACCGTGGCCTCTGGAGGGAAACCATCTGTCCACCACTGCAGACAAACTGGCATATGGCACTAATGTCGACACTCTTCTAAAGCCAAAACAGCAACAATGGATTGGGAATAAAATATAAAATGCAAAAAAGTAGCACAGAATGTGACTCATTTTGGTCACCTGGAGTACATAATTATACTTTTAAAATTACAAATGGTAGGTGTACAACAATTAGATTCGCAAGAAAAGATATTTCAATGAACATTTACACAGTACAGCCCCAGCATCAAGCCCTCCTACTCCAAACGATACAATACAGCTCTACTTTTTAAACAGAGTCGCAGACACCTGCAGCATTAAAGGTCCAGTGTGTAGCATTTATGAGGATCTATTGGTGGAAATGGAATATGATATCTAATCATGTGAAAAATGAGAATTCTTATGTTTTTGTGATCATAGAATGAGCCTTTTAGATCTGCAGACACATTAAGAATGAACAAACCAAACACTAGCTCTAGAAAGGGCCAGCTGTATTTTCTGTGCGTTTCACGGCCACTGTAGTTTCTCCTTCGCACTTGGAAGTGAAGGGGAAAGTGAAGGAGTTGTAATCTGTAACTACATTGCGATTTGCAAGCCCCCAAGAAGAGTGCTGGGCTTTGAAGCCAGTTTGACATAGTGACCAAACCGTGTAATTATGACAATGGCATCCATCATGTGATGTACAGGGACCCCAAAATACTTTTTTCCCATAAGCTAACATTGTGAAAAAAACAGCTGTAAAATGGTGGATAAATTCTTTTAAGCATCACAAACACCACAAATTGACTTGTTTCACAATCAGAAACAAACTTTTTTGGCTTCATGCGCCACTGAGCGACTTCCATAAGAACAAACGGAGCCCAGTATCCAGTTCTCCTTTAATACTCCCATGGCTGGATGCCATTAAATCCTACAAACTGGTCCTTTAACTGCGACACATTATGCTCACCTCTGCTTCATTTGCGTAGATGGGAATGTCGTGGAATGGAGAGATGTATTTGCCCTCAGAGTTTTCTGTGGAAAGGAATCATAAATTAGTTTGAGCTCAAATAAAAAGTCAACACTATAAGGTAGAGTGAGATCCCTTCCTAAAGCTCTACAATTACTTGTCAACAGAGCTATTACAGTACTGTAGTTGTTGCTATGCACAATCCAGGGAGGGAAAATTCCCTACTAACACACAAGATAGTTCATTCAAAGAGCTGCGCTTACTGAAAAACACCCTGTAGTCCTGGGTGTTTGGCCTGCCCCTCTCCTCGACGGTAAAGCTCATGTCTGTTGTTGATGTCAAAGTCCTTCTGTGGTCTGAGCACTAAGAAGCTCCTGACAGACAGGCAGTCATTGAGACAGAAGGAGCAGGCATGCGCAAAGCTTAAGCCGAGGGTTAGACCTGACAACTGCCTGCATGTGACAACAGGGCTGCTGTATGGAGAGTGCAAAGGCCAGACAAGAGAGTCATGCTGGGTTCTGAATGTTCATCACCTGCATCTGCAGTAAACAAACCTCTTGGAGAAACATAATTTGCTCAGAATTGTAATCAGCAGCTAATCCTTCCTTGTTACCACTTCTCCATGGCTGCCACCTGCGTTCTGCGGCATGGATGAGAAGTTTTTACTTTCTTTGCGTGTGGAGTGATTTGTTTTCCATTTGCCTCTTGTAAGCTGTGGCTCTTGAGAGCTCTTTTCAGACAAAAACAGATGGAGCTGACTGGCGTTAGCTGTAAACCAATTAACAAGGCAGGATTAGTTTGTGACTTCTTGCCTCTTCAGTTTCACTGTAACTATTTGATAACATACTTATGGGCCTATTTTTAGAAACAGTATGTATAAAATATGTGACTCATCTTTCTTTTTCTCTAGAATACATCACTTGTATTATGATGGTATCATGATGGTCACTTACCAATATGGTACAGATGCTGAATAATAGTGTATTTGTGTGTTAGCTTTCATTTTGAGCTTTTGCAACAATGTTATTCATCAGTAAGTAAGGCATATACCTAATTGAATACATTTAATTCATAATAAAGTGCAGCCAATAGAGAAGTGTGTTTACTTTTTGCATCATTACATATTTATGTTAAGGAGAAAATCAGCACACTAAATGCAACTCCATCTTTGCTGGGAACTATGTTGCTAAGTGAAACAAGTTAAATTTACCAAAATATAAAGAAAAGACCATGCTAATACTAATGACCATGCTATTTCTTTATGCTATTGCTATATTTTCTAGGATTACAGTGCTAATCTATATCAGTTATTGTTGATTTTTCAGGCCAGTTAATAAAACAACAGTACCCCAACAACATGGTGCAATTATGTTTCAATTGTTAGATGTGTCATGTACAAATTATGCAAGGAGATGATTGTTTGGAGAAATTCTGTATTATTGTAACTAAAACAGAAATGCACCCCACTGTAGTTCAAATTCTTGCTGCGAAGAGAGAGCTAAATATCTACAACAGTACACAGAATATTTTCCTTTATATATAATAAAAGCACAGTGAGTCAAGAGGGCAGCATGATGCACAATACAAGGTCACAGCCTGGGCAGCAGAGGAGTCATGTGACCGTGTAAGCTTGCTGCTATGCTAAATATTTCTCATAGCCAGAAGATGTTCTTCTTTAGGTGACTTGTAGGTTGTAAGAGTCTGGCATCCCAGCCTGGCACAAAGAAGGCATTTTAAAAGTCTTTCACACAGAAAAGGGTTTTAAAAAAAAAAAAAAAAGGGGTCATTGCTGGGGGGCTCACATATCATAATACTACTCCCTCTTCTTGCTCTTCTGTTCTGAAATGCTACAAAGGCTCAAAACAGTTAGCCCAAACATCAGCTTATGGGTGATCTAAGACCAGTGTTACTATTTAAAGAATTCTTGAAAAGCCTGAGCAAAATACTCTGAATTGTTCTACTGTGGTCCGAGGTTATTATAATTAACTAAAACTAAAGCAAAAACTAAAAGTAGGTGTGAAAATACATAACTGAAATGGAAACAATTGTTTGGATTGTATTTATCTCTGCAAAGTAACTATTAGTTAGGCATTTATCAAATAAATGTAATGGAGTAAAAAGTACAATATTTTTCTCCAAAATGTAGTGGAGTATAAGTATAATGTAGCAATGGGCTTGATTGAGCTTAGTATACTCAAGCAAAGTACTTTTCCATATATATTCCACAACTTGTTATGATTACCTGCCTTTTCTATATTATATAACTGATTATATGTTTTGGACTGTTGGTCAGACAAAACAAGATATTTAAAAAATATCATCTTGGGCTCTGAGAAATAGTGATTCTGACTATTTTTATTGAGAAAATCAATGTCATTGTGATCAAAGATGAAAATAATTGTTATTTGCAGCCCTACATTAAACACTATATATTAAACAATTTCTGTAAGCCACTGTGTGTCATCTAACATAGTCTCAGCAATGAATCTGTAACCCAGTGAAACAGAATGGCACGAGACTGCACAGTTCCCAACGTAAGAGCTTTAATTGAAAACATTTTTTTATACTATCGAAAGTAATAAATAAGGCATTATTTGTCTCCAAATGATATTGTTTGGAGACCCAATAATGATGACTATGGAGATATGTTTTATTTCCAAACATCAACTTGGAGGAGGAAATCTTAACACACCTTTTTTGTTTTCTTTTCTATTGTAAACCAACTGTGATATCTTTCAGTTCAATATCTTCAAGTGTTTTCTCATTTCTTTGGTGCATGCAAGCATCCGACTCAAGCAGTTAAAGGCACACAGCATGCAGTCAATAGGTGGCTAAAGATAATACTCTTTTAGGAGTCTGTGGTTGACAAAATATCAAAACTGTGGGGAGATTGCAGAGCAGACTGAGTGTTTGAGTCCAAAGGGTTTGACTTCACGTTTAGCCACTTCAGCGCTGGCATCTCCGACAACTTCTCCACCGGTATTTCTGTGGGGCAAAATAAAAACAGAGAGTAAGTTTAAGCTCAGACCAAGCCATATAAGCATATACAACCACTTGCCTCAATATACTATCATTACCGGTGAGGCTGTTTCCCTCCAGGTTAATCCTCTCCAGTGTGGCTATTTCAGTAAGCTTATCAGGGAAGATGGAGAAGCTGTTATTAGCCAGATTGATGCAGGTCAAATGCTCCATCTCTGCCACAGAGTTAGGTAGCTTGGTGAGAACATTGCCTCGCAGGTCCAGTTCTGCAAAATATTTCAAGACACGAGTGAATCGGGGGGGTCGCTTGTCGTCAACATTTGTAAGATCAACAGCATATTTCAAAACACAATCTTTTCTTGAAGATTGAGTCCACGAATCAATATGTGTTATCCTCTACCTCTCAGCTGAGAGAATGTTGAGAAGAACTTGCTTGAAAGGGCCTTCATCTCATTGTCAGCCAATGTGATAACGCGGATGTTTTCTGAGACACTCCTCAGGACCTTGAACACACCGTCTGGGAAAGAAATGAGCTGGCAGTTTGACAGGTCTGCAGGGAAGAAGAACATGAATATGAGATTATCAACCATCAACACAACAGGGAAATGTTGAATATTTTTAATTCACAAACACTTTGAGAATTAAATTTATGGTTATTTGAGAAAAACAAATACAAGCCTCTGTCACCACCTGCTGGTGAAATCTGAAATAGCATCGAACAGAATAATCAGGGCTACTCAAAAAGAGAAAAGAGCCAGTGACAGACAGACAGAGAGAAAGATGGGTGAAGAGAGTATTACCCAAAGTATCTTTCCCCTCCTCTACAGTTGCATTAACCCTCCGGGCCACATTTGCGACTGCCTCTGCCATTTTTCTGCTGTCACTCTTCCTATGGGAGGTCATGCAACATTAGACTTCAACGTTTTTTTTACGAGATGTATGACAGGCAAATACTAAGTTCAGTAACTAATAATGACAGCATATCATCACAGCTTTATCCAGCTTCATGCAGTTAACACACTTGCTACTTTGAACTCCAGCTCTTTTTTAGAGCCAGGTGATTTGGTTCAGCTCTTCCTTTAGTACCGCTTCTGACCCTTTATAATTCAGCCAAATTTAGTAATATTTTGACCTATGATTGGTATGTGTGCACACACTGAAATTATTCAGTGTAAAAAAAAAACCTGCATTCATAGCAGTACTCTGCAATTAATGGTGAAAGTACATTTACTCAAGTACTGTACAATTGTGAGGTACTTATTTGATACATATTTCCATTTTATGGTACTTTATACTTCTACCCCAATACATTTTGAAGGCCAATATTGCACTTTTTACACCACTACATTTATTTGACAACATAAATTAGGCTACTAATTACTTTGAAGATTCATATTATTTATAGAAAATATCTAAAAACTAATCAATTATGATGTATTAGTATGGCTTAAGCTGCCTAGTAGTAGATATAGACGTTAAGATTTGCTCCTGCAACATTATGTTGTATGTTAATCCAGTGATAATATATTATTCTGAACTAGGCCTTTCTGCATACTGAGTACTTTTACTTTGGTACTTAAAGTAAAATTTGATGGTAATACTTCTGTACTTTTACTTAAGTAAGATTTTATATATAGCAGATTATTATGTTATTAATACTTTTACTTAAGTAGCAAGTAAAAGCTGTCTGTAAATTAATACTTGAATGCAAGTTGGTTTTCTGACAATTTAAAAAAGCAATAAAGTTAAGTGTCAAAGTCTCCGAAACATGAAAAGGTGCCAGTACCTAAAAACTGTACTCAAGTTAGTTACTCCTGGTTAACCAACGTGAGACTGTGTAAAGCACTTATACTGTGTGTCAGTATAAAATAAGCATTTAGACCCTGCCACAGCCCTACACTACCAGACTCATACAAACGCAGCCTGTTGAGCCATTATAACACCAGCCATTATTTCACTACTGTCTCATTAAAACAACACCAAGAAGCCACTTACCCAAACTAGAAGCTAACCACTACAGAGCCCTGCAGCTGCCAGAGTTAGCCTACCGTTAGCAACAGCAGCTGAACCACAGTCAAATTTGGTGAGTGTGTATTTTTAGCCCCGGAGAGGGCAATTCACCTGACTCGTTGTTCTGTTCACTAGAAACCACCCACTAGCGCTAACACCTCATATAATAACCATAAACCAACTTTATAAAACTCGTTGTTGCTTAGTAAGGAAGGCACACATGCTAGGCTACAAGCAAACAACCGGCTGGGAAATAAATGAACGACCGGCTCATGAGGGTCAGACCTGCGCTCACTAGTTGCAGACGACTTAAGTGACAAAGTAAGCAGTAAAAAAAGCAATATATTCATTTATAAAGTGGTAATAATTATTATTACTAAAGTTGGGTGACAGTGTTAATATATTTAGTCACTATTAGTGTCTGAACTTTGCTTTTTAATATCGGAAGTTTCAAGATGTGAAGGTACCATAAAGACACCCTGCTTCTATTTATTCTTCTCTACTTTGAAAAATCTCTGAATATATTTTGAGTTTGAAGCGGTTTACATATTAAATATTTACCTGAGAACGACATTAAGAAGTTAAATGTTGTCTTACCTCAGAGTCCTGGTCAACTATTCCCAGTTTGACCAGTGTCATGGTCATGACTCTGGCAAATTCCTGGTTAGTCAGTGTATTTTCAAAAGGATTTCAATACAATGAGCTCTCTGGCTTCAGAAGAATAGAACTTAGTTCACCATTGTTACAACTAACCACTTTACAGTATTTGCTGGATATCCCTCCGCTATGTAGCCTACAATGTTATGATTGTTTGGAGAGTGTGGCCATGACTCACTGTGGAAGACTGAAACGCCCTCAGACTAGAAAAGTCCACCTGTTTTGGTGTGTTGCTCCTTTTGTATGACACACACAGTAGTTTCAGGTAAATATACCAGTGATCTAAGTGATGACATGCACTGTGTTTTGTGGATATGTTTGAAAGTGTGTTGTTTTATGACGGCAAACCAAGACAATCGATGCCAGCTTTTTAGTACTCGGTGTGTAGGCCATCCATTAAATAACTTGCTCACGTGCCCAAAGAAAAGTACAATATGAGTAATAAAGCATAACAAAATACATAACCCATGTGTAAAATGCACATAAATACAATTTCTTTTATTATTTACAATAAATATACATTAATTTACAGTTTCACAATTGGTAGCGTACAATAAAATCAGTGCTGGAATATTCAACAACATTGCCTTTTCATGTTTACATTGATGAAATTGATAAGGGGAATAAAGTTGTGAGAACTGCACACAGCTGGAAGGCTGGATGCTGTTGTTGAGTCTGTATTTCAGCACATCTTAAAATAACAATGTTCTCCTTACAAACCAAAGCTCACATTACAAATTAAAATCCTATCTCTGCACATAGATCAGGTACAATCTTTCAGTGCACGGTGACAAATATCAAAGAGCTTTTTCTTTCCTTCTGGCTAAGTGTTTTCTTTTGTTTTTCCTGAAAATTGGTTGCTTCTGCACAGCGTTGTTTGTGCTGTTACACTGCTCAGAAACACAGGTCATGGTTGGAGGTGGTTGTAGCTGTCACTGGCAGCCACATTCATCCACAATCATGTCTTCATGGTGTCGAAGGAGCATTTCTCCGTTCTCGTAGTACAGCATGCTTAATGGGCTCATTTTGGTCGGGGCACAGCAGGGAGATGCCACTCTGTCAGGGTGGTAATGTTTCAGTAAACTCTGGAAAAGGAAGAAACAAAACAGAGGATTTAGTTAAATACTTCCAGCCTCTTTAAATAAAGACACTAAGACAGACAAATACTGATTTTAAGTTCAGTTATTCGATTAATTGACTAATTGTTAGAGCTGTACCCTTTTCCAAACCCTGGTTTTACAATTGAAATTATTACTATTACAGTTATATTCACAATTACACTAGCATAGATTGATAGATCATCTGCACCACTCACCTGCATGTAAGCGTGATTTGTTGGATTTAGTTCTCCTCCCAGGGGACCAGGGCAGGAACCCTCACACCGGTAGGCATTATATCTTTTAGGAAAGATGATCCAGGATCCCCAGCCAATTTGATTAAAGTCTACATGCAGGTCAACTCTGCGACAGAGAGATTTTTCACTCTCTCTTTTGGATGCCTGTGGGCTTCTCACTGTTTGTTCTCTCTGGCCCCGTTTGCTCCTGCGCCTCTTGGGCCAGTGGGCCTTTTTGATTTCAGCAGGGGACAAGAACTTGGATTGTTCAGCTGTATGGAGTAAGCTCGCTTTGGCTTTTGAGTTTTCATCGGAGCCAGTGTGTGAGAAGACGACCAGCAAGGCCCTGTCACTCACGTCCTGCTCTATTTTCGCCCCATAGACAGGCTGATCAGGAAGCGACAGGCCTCTCTTTGTCTTTACCGCTTTCCGTCTTCTTGACACTCTTCTCTGTCGATTTCTCGCTGTCAATTTTTGTCTGAGCCAGCTCAAGAGAGGACTTGTCATGTTGAACACTTTCCAGCTCTGTGAGGAAGTAACCAGTGATGATTCAGTGAGCAGTCCCACCAGCTGTTGCTCCTGGCAGCCCTTATGCGTATAGCACCCCTCGCCGTACTGGTGATAGACCTCGACGGTGATGTTGGAAGCATTTGGTGTCCCAGGAAGCCTGATTCTCAGCTCTGCCGCCTGGATCTGTTTGTCAGCCAGCAGGGCATGGAGGTCAAAGGTCGCAATCCAGCGCTTGTTTCTGTGCATCAAACCTAAAATGTAGAAAAAAGAGGAAGGTTAGCATGATTGGGGTGCACACTGTATCAGACAACGTATCATTAGTGGACAGTACGGTAAAATCAGGATAAATATTAAAGTCATGGTATGTCACGTCAATATGACAAAACACAAATGAATGTGCCAGTGAGCTTTCTAGGGGAAGCAACATCAACCTGTTGCAGAGAGACAATGCAAAGACACACAGGTTATGAAAAGGTCATATCAAAATGAATGTTAACTGTTAACTGCTGTATTTTATTTGAAGTAATTTGTGATTATCTTTCCCTCAGTGAGTTTAGATTTAATATTTAACAGAAAGGTTCAATAAATAAGAACATATAGTACATTGGTTTGTCTATCTATACCAAGCATTAAACTTAACAGGTGAACTACACTCATAGACACACGGTGAGCAGTATATATTGTGTAATAGTAAGATACTTGTCAGCTACCAGAGATTTCTATATACAGTTTATTCCAAGGTACAGTCCTTTAATATCCCTGACTGCATTAGGCCATGGTGAGACTGTCTTGGCAACAAGAGACAAAAACTCCCTCAATTAAATGAAAAATAAACTTTATCACACTACATATGAATATTAAACTTATCCTGTAATAGAACATTTGAATCTACATAGGCTAGTCCACCAATACATGATGGTATTGCAGTTAGTTATTTGGCATCACTTTAGCATTATTATTATATCTACACCTCATTTGTTTTGTAAAGTGAGGTGTTGGAAGAAATATAAGTCCCTTTGATAATGTCTACTATGACCATGTGATTAATGCTTGTATTGATGGAGACAGCAAATCAAAGAACTCATGTAAAGCTTTTTAAAACAAATAATCCAGCCATTGTTCCAATTGTAGCACAACATGTGCTGCGCCCATGTCTGCAATTGGAGGGGCTCATTGTGATTCAATGAACAGGTGTGGTTCAAATTAATCTAAAGGATTAAAGCATTTTAGACATTTACCTTAACGGCATTGTCCAGTGCATTGGCCTATTTAGCTTTACCGTTGATCAAAAGTGCAAACCATCCTCGCCGTTAATCCACTCAAACGAACCCCCAGAGCCGAAACCAATCATTTAACACATCTCTGCCTCTCCTGGCTTCTGCATATCCTCAGTCAAACAAATAGGTAATAACTCTAACACCTAGCAGCGATGTGGAATTGGATTCAGCAGCGGGGAGTGCTGTCCTCTTGTTGGCTGCTTGTGCCATTAAATCCTTAGCTCTAATCTAATCAAGCCAAGTGTGAAAAAAGAACTAAGGGAAGTTGTTGATTTGACTTAACAAGAGATTTGTATAGGGGGATGTCTGGCGAGATATCTAATCAACATCGCCTATTTAAGAAGAAAAAAAAAGGTTTGCTTTGAGAATTAAGACAGAAAAACCCGACCTTTTCACACGCTGATCCCTGCGTGGTTATTCACCCCTAAGTGGGGATGTGGATTGAAACCCTTCGAGGTCGTCTGGGACGCAGCTTTGACAGGAGAACACTTGAGCCAAAAAAAAAAAAACACTTAACATCTCAGAGGCTCTTTAAATGGTAGAGGAGAGACTTTTTTTCCCTTCTTTGTTTTAACCACAGCTACAGGGAATACAGACATGTTCTAGGCGACCTGTGGTCCGTACAGTTCCCATCACCTTGTTTCCCCCTTGCTCACCTATGACAAACATAAAAACCTGAAGAAAATAATCAACCAAATCTTACTTTTAGCCACCACACTCTTCACCGTGTCTGCTTGCTTTGCGGCATCTTGCTCCATAATATCCATAGGCCTGGAAAAGTTGGACTTGAAATTCCTGTAGAGATGCATCATGTAGGTCGGCAGGTGGTAGCCGGTGGATCGGTCCATCGCGGAAAAACGCTGCAGCGACTTGATATAAACTCCATCTCTGGCTCTCTGAATCCCCTGAGCCAGCAGCACCAGCAGAGATGTGTGCAGCGCAAAAGCCAGAATCCCCAATGAGCGCATGTTTTCGGCCGGTTAATGACAAATTCCTCTACTGGGAGATTAGGGGTGTCTTATATAGGCTACTCTCACCCAACCCCTTTCATGTTTAACAAGTAGCTGAGAACATTAAAGGAAATTGACATGCCTGACAGCTCATCATCCATTCAGTTGGTAATGAGGCGCCTGGGTGCGTGTTTACAAGGAGTGCAGCTTTTTTTTGTTTGCGCCATGTTCTTTGGGCTACTGCAGCCTGATTCCCCATCCTTGGATTAATTGCCTCAGCTATTTGGCTTACACTAATTGTTAGGCTTTCCCATAGTGTAACATAGTCTGCTGAATACCGTCTGATATGGGGAGAACGATTGGGCTATAAGACACTAATGAAACATTACAAACATTTACATAAAACACACTGTTGTAAATACGACACTCAATGTTCACTATTATCAGGATTATAAATTACATTTATAGGACATTATTGCCTTGTGCGCAATGTAGGCTTCTATTTTACATATATGTTGCGTAACTTTTGCATTTAGGGCTTCACACAAGGATATTAAGATAAAAGATAAAACAGCAACATAGGCCCACCACAAAATAAGATAAACTTAATATTGACCTCAGACACGAAACAGCCACCTTATCTCATATTGCATATATAATATTACTTATAATAATCATACACGGTCCGTATAGGGATCTTTTAGCTTTTATATGTTTATATAACAATTCAATATTACATTTTTAATGACCTCACCATACTTTTTGTGGTGTTTTGGATTCCCATATTGATATCATTATAATGCTAAAATCCCTTTAATGTTCCTGTATAAGTTTGAAGTCGTGGACTATATTTGCATAGCAACATTAAAAAATTGTAATGTCTTATTACAGTGGCACAATATAATATTTTATTTCATTGATTTAATATTTTAGTCAAGGTTTGGATGTAGGGAAGACTAACAGAGAGCGTCCGAGGATGATTGCAGACTGCGCATGCGTGGCCAGGCTATTCACAGCGAAATCCTTTTCCTCGTAAATTTCCCGAGAAAGCACTAAAAAAAAAAAAAAGATCAATGGATGTTTTCTCCAGGGCTATGCACAGAAAGCGTTGAACATCGGCTACATCCTCCCAATCGGACAAACCGAGCTCTGAAAACATGTTTTCTTGAGAGATTTTCCCCGTTTTTTCCCCCCACCGTGTGCTGAAATGGTGAGTAGCTTTAAAGTTTACGGCTGTTGTTGCACGAGCCACGACAGGCTAAAAGTGAACGTTCATGCCGTGTTTGAGTGCTGAGACTCTTAACAGTGTCTGGATACCTTTATTAATCATGCAGTACAAACATTTGCAGTTGAGCACTTTGAAGAATGAAGGATATTTTCATGATGCGAAGTGTTTGTGTGCTTGGGGCATACATGTGCTTGGCACCCCCCACCCCACCACACACACACACACACACACACACACACACACACACCATGCCTGCACTGCATCTTGCCAATTATTTGGCCACAGGCAGTGATGAATGCTAAAAAGTTGGGTACAGCTATGACTTACAGTTGGTGCTCTTTATCAGGAAAAAAAACAAAGAGACAGACACTTTCAGATAGATGTCAAATTATGCTTTTATTTTCTTTAAAAACGTCTTGATTTTGATGTACAGCCTGCAGTGAATGTGTGCCATAAACACTGGAAACTTTTAATAACATTTGCACCTACCTTTGCACAGAATTTACTTGTATATTCTGTAAGATATGGCCACATTGAACACTAAATTACATAAGCTCAAAGGTTAATTTACTAGCTTCTTCATTGAAGAAGACTTAGAGACTGAGAAAAGGCCTTTGAACTTCTATAACACATAGCCTGTTGGCTTATTTTGAATGCGGCGTTAATCCATTGTTGTCCAGGTTTTATGCATTTCAAATCATTAAAGCAAATCACACAAAGTTTATACATAGTCTGAATCAGCATTCGTGAAACGTACCAAGGCATGTTAATTCTTCCTGTTGGGTGCAATGTAAACTATGAAAAAGTCTATAGCACAGTAAGACAAAGCACATGATGCATGCTTTGATGTAAGGCAGTCCCTGGACCGTTTTGTTTGATTTAGCCCGCGCAGCTGGGATCAGTCTCCTCTGTTCATATCACTTTACCTTAACATCCCCGGGGGAAGACAGAAACTGGCTCTTGACAACCGAGAGTGCAGATCAAACTGCGAACATCACAATTAATCAAGAGTGAGAGCATGAAACTCCTCGATGAATGGACACCTGGATCATAAATGATTGAGCTATTTATTCTTGGTTTATCTTGATAAGAGGAATAAAACGGAAACTTTACTCCTCCCAGGCTTAACTTAAGTGTTGTCATAGCCCTTGCTTTATTATAAACTTTATGGGCCATAGGGATATTAGTTGGGGACTGATAAACTCAAAGTAGGGGTCCAGTTAGGTTTGGCAAATTTGACCCCCTAAAAACCAGGGTTATTGCAGAATATATAAGAAGTACTTCATTTTCTCTTATTTTTAGTCTGATCGTTTTGATCCAAATTCACAGCCTTTTGAAGTATCCATTAAGATGCATGGTGCCACATTATTGTGTGTGTATATGTATATATGTGTGTGTATATATATATATATATATATATATATATATATAAGTCATAGTCATAAGATAATGAACATCTGTGTCCCAGTGACTAGGACTGTTATACACGCTGAAGTGCAATGGATTAGTTTTACCACAAGGTGTCATATTTGATCACTGGACTCAAGTGAATATTTCAGATCACAAATATGTCCCTTCGGGTTACCTCGCTGTCATTTCATCTACCCAGGAGGATTAGTGGTGGTGATATATTTGTAACTAGAAAGGAAAAAAATGGTTTTATCACTACATCTGAACTGTGGCTCAGGTGAAATATATTCCTCTACTATCTCCTCCCTTCCTGTTGCTGTTACAAGGCTTCTAGCCAATTGGCTTTTTGGGGGTAAGACAGACTCCAGACCTGAGGAAGGATTTTTGTCGAGACAGGTGATGTTACCCGTATGCTCCTCTTTTTCCATTGGGGACATTAAGCAGAGAGGAAGTTTTTATTAATCTGTCACAGAACATCCTCTCACTCCAAATTGTGCTTTGCTTCATCGCCATCTAATAAAAAAAAAACTGGAAGGAAATGAAGCTGTCAGATGAACTAAATGTGTCATTTTGAATCTTTTTTTGAGCCACTTTAATTTCTGTATCTTTCAGTGCCACCTACTTGGCGCCTTCTTGTTTCTTGATATTTGGTTCAGATCTTACAAAATAACCCCCCGAAAAACAAACTCACGCTTATGATTGCTCAATCACGGATTGATTCATTCATGTTCTGAGGTTTTTCGAGCCATGGGAGGGTTTCACATTCATCATGTTGCAAAAACATCAGAGCCTTGGCCCGCGCTGCTGCAGGAAGGAAGGAACAGGTGTGGCAGCAGTAGATTTTATATCCATATCTCGAAAAACCACTTACTGCTTTTGCAAATAAGCTTCATTTTATACACTATCTTGTGACCGACTGTTGATTACACATACTTTTGTGAGATTTTGTGTGAAATATTTTCACAGGCTGCCATTCAGAATGCAAGCTTGATGTTGCTGGCTGTTTCGGAGTCATAGTTGTTGTCAGGTATGTGAAGGTTTTAGGATTTGTCAAGTTTATGCCTGTACAGGTATAATATCACTAGACTCTGTTGGCTTTGTTCTTGCTTTATACAGCCCACAGGATGAAATAGGACACTCGTGCATGATGAGTTGGTCTGACCTCAGGGTTACGACTACAAGTGGTAGAGCACACAGCTCCCTGCAGCTGAACCTCAAGCTTAAATCTAAGTATTTGGCCAGCTGTAAGCCTGTTTGCCTTCAACATAGCATGTGTTAACCGCTAATGAATGGAGTAATTAGAGCATCGTAGCGAATTAGGCTTACGTGATGTCATCTGTGTGCAGTTGTTACTGATTGTCATCCTCCTGGCAGGTCCGCATTACATCATGTCAGTGAGGGTTAACGGCTGAGGCTGATTGTAAGAACTTTAATAAGTGAAGGTTTAATTTATGTGTTTGAGACAGTTGTTAAGAGGTCTGCCATGTGTGGGAGGCATTGTGCTGCCAGGAGGCTCTGGTAGTGATTGGATAGTGAACTGAATGATGAGTAAGCCTCCCTGGGTCCGCCTCCACATCCTCTTTACACATCCCCACACACGCACACAGTTGCACACACAAATCCCAGCATGCGCGAGGAGCCTTGCACCTTATGCACAAGCGATGCATACAAAAAAGTAACAAAAAACCAGCAAAGGAGCTTGCCGTCACCCATTTAAACCTCCGACGGAGAGCTGTATCCCCTCCCCTCCCCTCTGCTAAGTGCCTGTCTGGGATCTGTCCTCACTGAAGGACACGTTCATTGACTCGCTTTATAAGGACGCCTTAATGATGCGAGACCGCAGCCTGCAGTAGTGTGATCAGCGGGCAGAAACAGATTGCCTCACAGATCAGAGAGAGAAAGAGATGCCATCAAGGATGTCTGACTGAGACCGGTGCGGCTGCCTGCTGGAAAGCTGTCATTTTGGTTATTTTTAACCCACTGTTTTCTTTTTTTCATTGTGTTCCTCAGAGACTCAAGCACCTCTCGGATGGTGGACTGATCAGCTGAATGTCAGGTATAGTTGTGATACTTTGTTCTCTTTGTTTTGATGCTAGAGTACTGCTGCATGTCATCAGTATGTCTCTAAAGGATACAAAAGGAAACGTACGTGATGCCTGGCTTAATTTTCATCTGAGATTTAAGATTAAACTGCCTTGTCAAACTAAAAATGATCTTAATCTATCATAGAATATAAACTTTTGCAGAGAGATTTTCTTTGTTTTTACACATTCTTTTATAAATCTAGTCATGTTTGATATTCACATAGCAACACGGATTACATTCTTCTTGGCATGTGATGCCTAGTCTCTACCTAGTCTCTAGTGTTTATCAGCTCTCATTCCTTTACCAGAGGACCAGCGCCTGTTTGACAGGATTCTGCCTTCCCTCGCCAACTTTAGAAAATGTGGCTGCTAAGTGGAGGAGTGTGTTTGCACACACACAAGTTTACCTTTTCAGTCCGAGCGGCGAGCGAAACGAAACACGTTAACGAATTGGTGTGAGATCTGTCCGTTGGCGAGGCTTTGACAAATAAAAATGCTGTCAGTTGGCTTGGTGGTGCTGACAGAATATTGTGGTAAGACGTCCGGGGATTTTGAAAAAAATTTAAGCCACATTACTGCAGCCTTGAAATCATAGGGGGATAAAATTGCCATCTTGAAATGAAAGAAATTACAGGCAGTGTTTTAAAAATAGATTTGCACACCCTTTTTAGCAGCTCAGTGTCAAGCTGTGATGAAAGCAAGAATGTGGAAGGCTAAAGGTTATTCATGTGATTTATGTTTTATTCACTGCAGTAGCATAGTTTGTTTTGTCTCACTTGTGGAGTCCCAGTATATTCGCTGCTTTAACTGGGAAAAAGTGCCTTTCGGTTTGTGCACTCAGTCTGTTAATCTTGAATATCTGTCTTGCAGTGCAAAAGCTATTTGAGGTAGTTCGATCAGATCTGGAAATTGCATCCTTGAACAATGCATTGCAAGGCTTCCTTTTTTGCCACAGTCTTTTTCTGAGCAGACTGATTTATTTTGGATGAAAACAAACATCAGAGCTGTAAGTTGACACAAAGTCACAATGAGGTCTTTGGAACAGTTGAGGGAAAACAAAAATGATTTTCTGCAGAGGAAGCACTGAGCTCATTTCCGCACAGCATTGATATTTAGCTCAGGAACTCGCAATGTCCTGTGGAATCACGCCTGTGTGTAACCCTTAACCTCATTGGTGAAATATGTGTACAGCTGCAGGGAGGAAGTTTCAGAGAGTACAACTAAGCATTTCCTGTCAAGGTGTGCTTACACTTCCTCTGCCTTGGGGGTGTGACTGGGTTGTATTGAATGGTTTGGTGATCTAGTATCCTGTGATGAGTGAGAGACTGTGGGACATTGTGTCATTGTTATAAATTAGAATATAGTTACATCAAACCTCCAATTGGCATACATTAAATTAGGTTTTTGAGCAGTGCTGAACAGTACTTTGCACATTCCTGCATATGCACATAAATGGGTTGCTGGTTTAGAAATGAAAACTTGTCTGCATCATACAAACATCCGCTTATGTTTTCATGTAATTCTGTCGTTTTTATGTGGTTTTGTGCCGCCAGCAGGCTTTCAAACGTAACATTGGCAGACGGAACAAGTGGCCTCCTTGGAGACCAGAAATGCCCCGAACCCTTGAATAGGATAGGACAAAATGAGCAGTGTTGCCAAGTAAGCGAGTGGCATTGAATTGGCACTTTTTCATGCCTTGCTGCCACGATTGTGGCTCTCTTCTCCATCTTGATATGGGAAGTTGTGTCGAAAGATCTCCCTAAGCGTTACAAAGTGATACCCATCTCTCTTGAACCCCTGCATCTCTTGTGAATGAAGAGTACTCTGCATCCTTCCTCGGGGCCACCAACAGATGCATCCTGCAGCTGCACCCTCCTTCCTGTCTGCACTCAGGCCCTTTTGTCTGAAGACATTGCTACAGCAAAGTTGGGACACCGGCTGAATTTAAATGGGGCAGCACTGAATGGAGCAATGCTTGTAAGCTGGCAGGAGGTTCCAGTTTCCTTGGTCTTATTCTTACTGTGCAATCAGTGAATTTAAATATTAGTGCCTTTGACTTCTTCAACCAGCTGGCAGTGTTTTTTTTTTTTTGGTCATTCCACGTTGTCAGAGGAAATCTGAGTTTGTCATGTCGTTTTATTGGCCTCGCGAGCAGTGCGACACTACTCTGGTTGACATGTGGGATAAACAGCGTCTCTGATGAGTTGCCTTGATTGGATTTCCAGGAGGATGTTTATGACTGAGGGCTATTTCTACTCAGGCCTCCGCCCCAGCTGCCCGCCCGCTAGACCGGGCCTGCCCATGCTGAAATCAGTGTGGCTGACGAGCTAAGCTTCTGTGTGTAGCAGGAACTTCCGTATCAAAGTGTGCGTGCGCCATGGTCTTGCAGCAGAGGTGACAGGCTATAAGGTAAGACCGAGGAGGGTTTCGATGTTCCAGTTGCAGTGAGCAAGCTGCTGTATGCTGTGCAGCATTAATAACGTCACATTTCCTTTTGGGGGCCTGTAAAACTAGAGCTTGACAGAAGCGTCAGTTAGCCTCATTTAACTCTCAGATGTTTTACAAATAACAACAACTCATGGGTAAGATATAGGAAGTTCTTGTGTGGATGAGAATATTGGGAGAATCTGTTGGCAGAGTGTTTTATAGCTTTCTACTGAGCCACATAGGAACATGCATATTATCATGCATGACTGTGGTGGTGGGTAAAGGAAACCTACTGATTAAATGTCCTTAAAGTGACAGAGATTGAAAAGGGTTTGCTATGTAAATGCTCTTTACTGTGAGGAATGCACAGACTGTAAGCTCTGTTTTTTTTAAGCTAAATAGAAAGTCAAGGAGACACAGAAGACGTCTTATATCTATCATGTTTCTTTACTTTTATTTTTTTACTAGTGCAAAATAATTTATTTTTACTACTTTTATTTCAAGTCAAGTCAAGTTAGTTGTATCTGTAGATCTAGGTCATAAATGTGCCTCAAAGAGCTTTACAGTCTGTACTGCATAAAACATCCTCTATCATTAGACCCTCGGTTTGGATAGGAAAAACTCCCTAAAAATACCATTTAGTCTGGAAAAAGGAAGGAACTTAAGGAAGAGCAACAGATGATGGATTCCTCTTCCAGAACAGACATTCATCCCATAGATGTGTGTACAGAGTAGACATTTAGTGCAGAAAGAACTCTATCTAAATATTGACTAAGCGTTTTTACACTTGGTCGAGGTGGAAAAGTTGGTGTATCGATAAATGCACTGGGGTCTCTGCTCCACTGGAGAAATAAGGATGGAAATGTTTATTAATTTGCCTCTTCTTTTGATAATTATGTGGAAATTTGGTAAAAATGTGCACTTAATTTGTATGGAAACTTGACTAGTAATAACAATGGTTACATTTCAATATGGGAAACTGAAAGGCCGAATTTTTTTTATTTGTTTTAAGTGCCAAAAGTATTGAAAAATGACCAGAGCTCAAGGTGATTGGTGTCTTTAAATTGTGCTTCTTTTGTCTGACCAACAGTCCAAAACCCCGAATATTACATTTATAGTTTTATAAAACAAAAAAGCAGTACATCGTCATATTTGAGAAGCTGTAACCAGTCGATGTTAAATTTGATCGGTTAGTTAAGTTATCATTCCAGGGTGTTCCTTTTGTACTGCTGGCTGTACAGTACAAGAGCCAACTGTGTTGTCTTTGTGCACAGCCTGTCCCTGTGAAAGGGAGCTGAACTTTGGCCATCTGGCTGCCAGATGTACCACTACTTCCCCCGGTCCCCTCCGCAGAGACTTGAGTTTCTTGCATGAATCTACTCCCCAACATCATATATGAGATAAGACGTGGACGAGGAGGTCGCTGTCTGAAAGCTCCTGAATTTTTTGCCCAATGCCAAGCAGCCAGACACTTTGAGCTCCCACAAGGGGTGTTTCCCACTGACAGGGGTTGGGCAAGGGCATCCAAAAGAGGAAGATTTCTTTTTGGATGTGATGCCAAGTTCTCACACTACTTTGGACCATGGCGGAAAACAAGCAGCAAAGAAAAGGATCTCGAAGTACAGATCGCTCCTCATCTCACACGTAAGATGTCAGATTTTAGTGGATTCTTCCAGTGTGGAGGCTTTTTGTTGTTTTTCTTGTGGTAGTCCCAGAATTATGGCAACAGAGATGCTTTTGGTATGTGGTGAGGACTCAAATAGATTTGGGCAGCAGGAGCAAAGTATTCTTGAAAACTTAACTTCCTTTTATGGAACAGTGGTAGAGATTCTGCCTCTTTTTTCTCTTTTTTTTTTTACTTTCATAGCATATTTGCTGAAATCGAGAGATAGACTTTGTACCTATATTTTTTTAAACATGGCAGCAGACAAGTTAATAAGAAAATCAATAAGTTGCCGTCTTCCACGTTGTGCTTGTAAGAGGAGAATCTCCCTACTGAATCAAAAGGTCTCGCACAAGGTTGACTTGCCCACTCAGCTTCAGGCGCAACAAAGAGGAGAGAAGCGGTGACTCACCGGCACTTCTCTCTTCACAGAGCCTCTCTGTACAATGAGAGTCCACTCTGTTCAGAGCTGGAGATCACACAGAGCTGCTTTGAGGTCAGGCAGCAAAAGTCAACCCTGCCATACCCCTCAGCTGTGTCACATCAAGTAGATTTTGATGTTGGATTGATTCTGTGGTTTTGGTTTGCACTTTGCTACTCCAGTGTTACCGTATGTGTATCTGTGAGTATGCTTCAGTGCTTTTCTGTGTGTTGTTTAAAGTATAATGTCGGATTTATGTGTATTTCTCTGCTGCTGTAGGTTCCTGACCAGCTAGATGCTGTAAGCGATGTCGAGGAGCAATGTTATTGTAGCTTGTCGGGAGACTCGTTTGTTTATCTGCAGAGCTCCCTGCAAAGCTCACTGTTTATTCAGAGTGGAGGAGGTTTGGTTGAAACCTGTGGCTGGCTCGCGTGGGGGTCTGAGTGCTTCATATCAAGTTGATTAAAATATAAATACTGTCACACTCGACTCTAATCCCATGCCACCATGATTGAATTGTAGGGATGTGAAGTTAATGATGATTGTAATTTGAGTGCTGACTAAACCTAAACGGGGATTTTATGAGGGGAAACCTCTACATGTTCTACCTCTCTAAAAACACTCACAAAACTGCTCCTGTTACATGAGTAACATTTTTATAGTATGACATGATTTATCACATAGCCTAAATTGTTTCTTTGTCAGATATAGAGGCATCAAACTGTTTTAATCTGTTGTTTGTTTTTCATGTAATAAATCAGAAATAATAGCTGGAACAGACAGTATCTTAAGTGTTGAGAACAACAATTCATATTTACAGTATTTAGTTTCAGCAGCTGGATAAAAAAAATACATGTGCATGAATGATAAACATTATGAATGCAAAAATGATTAAAAAACCCACATTTAAAATAATAGTTTGTTTGGGGAGTTTACTTTGTTGCCTAGACTTGTATGACAAGATTGATGCAACTCTTGTCTGTACGCAGTTAGCTCAGCTTAGTTTAGGAATGAGACTAGAAACAGGGGGAAACCGCTTGCCTGGCTTTTCCCATAAGGTCACAAGAAATCTGCCTACCAGCACTTCTACAGTCCCCTGAGAACCACAAATCATGGCAATCCAATAGTTGTTGAGATATTTCAGTTTGGACCAAAGTGGTGGACAACAGACAGACTGACATTGCTGTAAATCACTTGAAAAATGTATTCGTAGCTATATTTGTTTTTATTCACTTCAGTGGGGAAGTGTGAGACATTCTAGAAATATATTAGATATGTCTCTAAGTGGTGTCACTCCCCATATATACTCTGTGTTGCCACTGTGTATGTATGTGTGTGTCTGTGTGTTTGCTTCCTGTTTCTGAGTACGCTGCGATGTCATTCACAGCTGCTTGTGGAGCATGGGTACAACTGCCAGTGCCGCACCACAACCTGTAACCGTAGCGTCGCCACTTGTCCATGGCAACGGGATGGCCAACAGCAGGCAGTCTCTTAGCATGAGCCCCTTCCAGACAGTCAACATCCACAACAACAAGGCCAAGTCCATTATCACCAACAAAGTCGCACCTGTCGTCATCACGTAAGTCCCTCCCCGAATCCGCGTTCTCACAATTGGGTGTTAATCCTCTTTGATCACTGTGGTGACAGCCCCTTCCACCAACCCCCAGCCGAAGTGTTTGCCCCCGTTATCATCTCATTTGTCAATCCAGGCCTGGCAAATAGTAGCTGATAATTGAATTGACCTCTGTTTACCACCCAGACCTGCTGTTGTGTTCTGTTTCACAGGTATAATTGCAGACAGGAATTTCAAATTCACGATGACATACTCAAGACCAACTACAAAGTTGGTCGGATATCGGACACCATGCCCGAGCACTACCTGGTGCAGGTAAGCAAAACATACACAACAAACTTCTTAGTTGCAAGAAGGCGCCGCACTGTCGTAGAAAGATGTGGAATCATCTCACCTGTCTTTAAGCCTGCTCTTTTCACATTCACTTGTCCAAATTGCTGAGTGGCATAGGAACATTGTCATGCGCTGTTTTATGATCTAGGGCAGCAATTGAAACAGGAATGTTGTCACCCTTTTATCAGGGCTTTGATCTGCTCCGTCACCTCTGCTGCGTCTGTTCAGGCATGCAGTATTTTATCAGTGTTAACCCGTAGACTCTGTTTACATGTATAGATAGGTCAGCAGTTTTACAAACAGTAAGATCAGGAAGGCAGATATGTTTAAAAATACGTTCTTTTCCTCTCTGTTTTGGCATCTGCATTAAGCAGGTTCACAACCAGAAATGTTTCAGAAACACTTCCCAGAGTGGAAATATTTGAAAACGCCAAGTGTTTGTTGGAGCATGGACACAAATAGAATGATGAAATATTTTTGCTCATACTGGTGTTGTGTGTCAGAAATGTTAAGTTTACACAATACGCATGTTGTCAGTAGGGCTGGTGTTCAAGAGCGTTTTTATCAAATATGAATCTGCTAATCAAATTTGGAGTATTTCAAATCCCTTATCAAATCTTTTAGGTAAGTTCGTTTGGTGGGAAATGAAAACATCTTTCTTAAAAAACATGTTCTATTTTTACTCCACTGAATATCATAACTAAACCCGGGAAGTTCCACAGATTGTACTGGAACTCAGGGGTGTTGGGCTTTCACCACATATTTCATCACTGCTATGTGTCTGTGCTCTCAGCCGCAGAAGAACACAGTGGAAATAACAATTCCCCTTCATCACTCAGCAAATATCAACTAAATGAAATCAACGATTTTTCCTCAGGCATGGTGCACTTAATGTTACGTGAAGGTGAAGTTTTTGTTGCAGTGCTACAGGTCACAGAGACTGGTGGGACACTGTCAAGTTCTTACTTTTAACATAATGGATGGTAGATAGATAATTAAGCAAGGAGAGCTTGTCATTCCCCCTCCTTTCTCGTGAGTATCCTCAGTATTTTCAGAAGAAGGCAAAATACATTGAGGTGTAAGATTCAATGAACGTCATGGCCGGAGAGATAAAGAAATCCAGGTATTTTATCAAACTCAAGCCAGGTTGTCTGTGGTCTGTTTATGTAGTCAAGACACCTTCAAAGAATAAAATGGTGTTTTGATTGATAGTTAAAGTGCAGCAGTGTAGGAATAAATGACAATTCAACTGGAAATTATGACTAAAAATGACCAATATTGTGAGATATTTTGACATATTCAGTTCTATTGGACACAATTCAATGTGTAATGTATAATGTTGGAGAGATGGAGGCGACAGAGCAGATTTAACCTGTTGAGACAACAGATTAACCAGGCTGTGCAGGAGTTTATTTGCCAACAGAAAAAGGAAGAATAGATTTGAGCCTTTTCACAATTTGTTTTAATGCTCCTAAATACTTACTTAAAACTTTACAAAACAGTTAACTAAAAAGCCTAAAATTCCAGCAAGGCTGCAAGTGGTTTCACATGAAAACGCCATTTTCAGATTTATCCAACTACTTTAGTGTTCACATTTTTGATCGGCAGAATTTACAAATACTAATGCAGGCTCCAGTGGAAGCTGGAGAAAAGTTGTGTTAGGGTTAAAGTCCGATGAAAGTTGCATTGCTTTCCAGGGGGAGTACTTCATGGTCCAGGATGTGTACAGCAAGGCAGATGTCCTCAATACCACGGGCAGCTATGGAGCACCCAACTTCCGCCAAGTCAAGGGGTCTTACCCTCTGTATGGGATGGGTCAGCCGAGCCTGAATGGCTTCAAACAGGTTCTTCAAAGGCTCCAGGCGCAAGGACACGAGGTTACTTTCTTATTTGTACACGCAGAATTTACACACAAGCTCACATAAATTGTTCATATGTTGACTGGTAGATTTTATGCCTTTAAATCTCCTGTGTTGGTGCCTGTGTATGTACTGTAGCCCTGCCTGGCCTCTTTCTAGCCGTGTTGTCAGTAAATATTTGAGGAGTCAAGTGCTGGAGGCTGTGGCTGAATTGTAGAACTGAGCAAACAGAAAGTTGTGGTCGTGTGTACCAGTGGAAAATCTCTGTGCTTACAGCAGCTAGAAACTGACCGTAATTGAAATTAAATTGACAAAATTATACGTCAGGCCTAAACTCTAAACTCCTTACTCATGTGCTGCATGTCATATGACAACACATTGTTTCCAGTTGGTCTTGGAAGTGGTGTAGTTGGTAGAAGGCAACAACCACTTACTTTAAAAAGCTAATATTCGATGCCCATCTTCCAAACAGGAGGTTATATTCTTCTGTGTACGAGAGGAGCCGGTGGTTTTTCTGCACAAGGACGACGACTTTGTGCCGTACACCCCCAGGAGGAAGGAAAACCTACATGAGAACCTTCATGGCCTGGAAGAGGAGGAGCTGGTGGAGGGCCTGGAGCTCACCATCAGGAAGGAGGTGACAAACATATATGACTCATGACTTTTTTCTTTGCCGCAATATAGTTCTCAGCCGTATTAAAACACTCCCTTCTCTCTTCCTTCCTCCACAGCTCCACGACTTTGCCAAGCTCAACGAAAACATCTTCTACGTCTACAATGACATAGAGTACTTCAAAGACGAGCCGCAGAAGATCTCCATCACGTGTGAGGAGGACATCCATGTGACTGAAGAGGTCTATAAGAGGCCTATGTTCACCATGCCGGCCTACAGGTTGTTTACATTGTTCCTTTATTAGCCCTCCTCAGCTCGCACGTCAGTTTACGTGTGGCTGCCTACTGTAGAATATGCAGGGCAGGTTATAAATAGTGGCGCTTGTTTGTGCAAAGACTGGTTGCCCTGAGTTTTTGCAATCAGATCAGCAGAGTCAGCTTTATTGAGATGTCACAAGCTGCTCACATTTCTAGGGTAAGAGAAAATATTCTCAGAGGAGAGTGCTGAGGCCTTGTCTATCTCTTGAAGTATGGTAGTCAAAAGCAAGCAGCTGAATGTTTTATTATAGATGGTTTGGAATTTAAGGTGGTCAGTTTTTAAGGGAACGTTAATTATCCCATGATTCTCATCTCTCCCATCATCCCTTGTGGATTGTGGAAGGAGGCGAAGTTTGAGACCCATGAGATTAGTAAACACAACGTGAGGGAGCTCAGCTGTCGAGTCTTACTTTAGGTCAGATTTGTGTGTGCAGTGTGTTATGATCTACATAAGGGCAATATTGACACAACACAGGCGCGGGTTCAACCTCCGGTAACAATCTGTTGTATTGCAGGTACTACAGATTACCACTACCAATGGAGGGAGCGCCATTGGAAGAAGACTTTGACGCATTTGTTAACATACTCAGGGTAAGCGCATGTAAAAACGCCAATCACATGAACAGTCCACCAATTAGATAGACCTTTTTTGGTCGTGCTTTTTGGTCTTGGTCTTCTGATTGGATCTTGTTTTGATGTGCCATTAAAGTTATTAATGGCTGGAATATTGGAGAGCGTCTGGACTTTCTCACTGAGGTAGCGAAAAGGTCATTTGAATCTACACGTAGCCTTTTTGAATCTATCCTATTAATCACTAATAAGTGTGATACTTATTTTAAAAAATGGCAGAAAAATCTGCAGTCTGGTCTCACTTCACGTCCGCTCATTGGTCATCTGCTCGGTCTGGTTTCCGTTCTGCCCTTCACTCACACAGGATGTTCTTTTCGTCTTGTTTTGCCCTTTTTTGGACTGACTTGCAGCAGCCGGTCCAGTTCCCTGTGGTTGGAAAGTGGCTCCTTTTTTAAACTGTGTTTGGATCAGAGCTGTACTGTGTTCTGCCGCACTCTTTCTTTCACTCTTTCCTTTTGTAATCCTTACTCATGGCATTGTCCATGGCATTTTCTTGCTGAAAGGCATGGCAATCCTTCATATTTGCATGTACAGTTATAGCTTTCAGGATGTTCCTTCACTTCCCTTTTCTGTAGTTTAAACAGGCTATAAAACCACAGTTTTCGCATCTCAAATAGTACATTTTTCCAAAATGAGATCAGGAACCAGAAAGTATTGACTTGGTGATTAACCAAATTTTGGCCAGTTTAAACCTCTTATGACCTGCAAATCCCCAAACCCCAACCCATACTGGGGAACATTTTCATCTTTAGCACTGCTGTCAGTACCACCTTAGTGATATAACACCATTCATCTTGGTTAGGTGTTTTACAGTCTGTCATGTCTGAGAGTCTCTCTTCAATATGTGCTCCGTTTTCCAGGAGAGCACCAGCTTGTCTCTGGGCCACGATGTGTCCCGGCTGCCTGCTCTGCTCTTCAGCTGCCAGGTGGGCGTTGGCCGCACCAACCTAGCCATGATCCTGGGCACACTGGTCATGAATCGCCTGAGGGGTGATTCACAGCCGCAGCCTCAGTAAGAACTCTGCATCAAATGCATATGGAAAATAATATGACATAAAACTTAATCACATGTTTGATAATACAGTGTAATGATGCAGCTTTGAAATCGGTTTCTTTCAGACATGCCAGGTAAGCTGGGACTTATTTTACCTTATTTGTCTTGTCTTGCAGAGTTGAGGAAGCAGCTGCTTCAGAGCCCAAACCACTGTTCCAGGTCATCCAGTCTCTGATCAACAAGCTGCCTAATGGACAGCAGGTCATGGAGGAGGTAAAATAGATAACCTACAATTTATAAACATGTATAGAAAGCTCTCATGTTTGACTTTGCAGAATTACGTTTGTGCGGACTTTGACGATAGAAGGCTGTTTTTACATTCCTCTGCTGAAGGGAGAACATATCTCTGTGCTCATCTTAAGTTTAAGACAGATGTACAAGCACTGAAGTGCAAACACTGAGAATGGACTTTTCAGTGAATTAGGAGACATCTGAATAACTGCATATTCAAAGAGGAGGAAGGAGTAGATGTTTTTTTTTACAATGGTAATTTTACTTTTTTATTATTATTATTATTATTATTATTATTATTATATCATAGTATTTTATTCTCTTTTATGTCTTCAAACATTTCTGGAAGGCATCTTTAACTTAAATTATTTAAATCAAAGTCTTAAAAGGTCTAATTGCTTTTGTATTTCATTCTAATGGACCAAAGAATGTAACTCGATGACCCTCAAATCTTTTGAATTTAATTAATGTTTTGTTTTTATCTGACAGGTTGACCAGGCTATCGCCCTGTGTTCAGAAATGCACAACATAAAAGAAGCAATATATGAGAACAGGAGTAAGCTGGAAGGGATTGGTGAAGATTATCAAATTCAGGTTAGTGATCCTTTGTTTTTGTTTTTTTTTGCTGTGATTCGGCAGCACTGACAGCAACCTGTAATTTCTCTTCAAAGGCAGCTGTTTGTGCTCTAGAGGACGTTTGATTTCTGCTGCTCAATTTATGTTCAGCTAAATAAAGCAAGAGTGGCACAGAAATCAAATGATCATGGGGCATTAAAAAGCCCTTGAACTGATGGAGGACTTAAGTAACTGAAACAATAGAGTGTTTAATTTTTGATGATTTTCTTCTGTCCTGAATCCTCCTGAAATCAGTAGGGCCTTAAATGCACGTACAGGATCGTCTACGGGAACAGACATTGAAACTTCTGTTTGTTTCATAGGGAAGCAGTACCAAAGACTACTTTCTCAACAGAACCATGCAGAGCTTGGAGCGCTACTTCTACTTGATTGTATTTAACGCGTACCTTCACGAACAGGTAATAATTTTTGTACTCCTGTATAAATGTTTTGATTGATAAGAATAAAATTTAAATGAAATAAATCTTGATTTCTAATTGTTTGTTGCATTTTGCAGTATCCTCTTGCCTTTGTGTCCAACTTCAGCCAGTGGATGTGCTGCCACACGTGGCTGTACAGGTTACTGGCCTGCATGGACCTATCAGAGCTGTCAGCCCCGGCTGAGCTGGTCACCAAAGGAGCTCGGGTCTTGGTGAGAAAATCGGGCACACACACAGAAAATTGATACTGTTATCATCAGAATTCTGATTGTATCTGTGTCTGCAGTGAGAAACCAAAACCATATCACGCAGGACACAGATGAATCTGCAGTGTTTGTGCCCACAAACACTACTTTTTTTTATACTGATAAGCCTTGCCTCATGATCTTTTCCACAAGATCTCAAATCTCTCGTCTTCCCACACAACCATCTAATCATCTGTATCCTCAGATGTGCTCTATATGTTCCAAGTAATGTGTAACTACGTGTGTCTGCACAGGTTGCTGAGGAGTGCTTTGCTCCGGATGTGCTCGGCACACTGAAAGAGATGAAGGCGGTCAACTTTAGACGAGTGCCCAAGATGCCTGTATATGGAGTGGCTCAGCCGACATCAGAGGTGCAGCATATTCCCTCATTTTTACTCAGGGACAATACTTAATCACATGAGTCCTAAACATTATCTTGAAGGATTGAAAAGTAGATTATGTATTTTATAGCTACCACTTCTATCTAGAAATTATTATTTGGAACACTTGTATCTCTTTATTCTTATTCTCTTTCTTTTATAGTTGACATACAAATTAAGAAAAGGAGCAGGGGATCTTATAATAATATTCTAGAAATCTTTAGTTTTATTTGTAAATAAATAAATAATTTGCACATTCCCACCTTATCTCCACATCATCAATGTGCATCCTTGCCATCATAAATATTCACAAGAGTACAAATAGACTCAGAGGAATGACTCATGATGATTTGGTGTACACTCACACGCCCACCTCAGGACGCTTGAGCCGGAGTTCCGGCTCCGTGCCCGCTAATCATAAACTTGCTGTGTGCAGGCTACTGGGGCAGTTTTGGCCCATCTGACGGATGAAAAGAGGAAACATAGCCACGTGTTGTGGGTCAACTTGCAGGAGGAGCTGGTGCTGGAAGGGAATAGTCAAATTTTTACACCAAGAGAGCCGTCGTGCCCGGACCAGCACATTTCTATCCCATCGTCTGACCCAGAGTTAATAGAGGTAGTGTGAAAATAATGCTTTTTAGGTGCTTTTCAGGGCAGTTACAGTCTGATAAATGACGAGACGCCGGAGACAGTCTTCACACAGTGGAAGTAAAATTGCTCTCATATCCCCTCCTGGCCTGTAGAAACTGGAGACCTCTCTGAAGGAGGAGATTCTGAGGGCTCAGAAGTGGCTTGAGGTGACACTTGAGCAGGAGAAACAGATGAAGATGTTCAAAAGCTGCCTGACAGTCCAGGAGATCTTCAACCAGCACAAAAGCACCCACCAGGGCCTCGTCTACAAACGCATCCCTCTGCCGGACTGCAGCGCGCCCAGGGAGGAGGTAAACATGTCAATACTCACAAACATGCAGGAGGTGCAGAAATAGTTTAGAGGTTCCTTTGGTAGCTGATTGTAATGAAGAGAGGTGACAATGAATAAACCTTGTGCTCCCTCTAGTGGTTAAAACTGTTACTGTTGTACTGGGATTTTCACCATAACCACAACTACTCTCTACTTTTATCATTTTACTGATTGATATTCATTCATTTTGCAGGTGTTTGTCTAAATGAAAAGTTAAAAGTTCAACTTTTAAATTAAATTACTTTTCATTACTTTTTTAAAATCATGTTGTGTTATGTCTGCGTTACTCCACAACATTGACTGAGATGACGTAATATTCACTGCATTTCACAAGCCAACCACACTCAAAAACAAACTCTATCGTCGCTCACCAAACTATGGCTTTATAGTTCAGCTTATTTGAAGCGTTTATCACTAATGCAGTGGTTATACCTCATGAGGATGAGTCTCTCATATTGTTTGTCAGACAACCTGTCCCTCCTTGGAGTCAGCACAAGACTGCCCAGGCTGAACAGCCTCTCCACCGGCGCACTAGACGATATCATTGTGTCGAATTGCATGAATATTGTAGAGAAATGGTTCAGGGTCTCCATCTCTGAGCCTGATTTCAAATATTCAGAGACTTTGTTGAAGGAAGTTTTCCTCATCGAAAATGATGACAGTGATGGTTGTGCAAATGTGCATGTTTGATTTTTGATTACTGATTTCGGAACAGTAATTTGTTACACTACAACAACACTACTTATGACACGCTTTAATTTAGCTCAAATAAATAGATACTTTGGTAGTTTGAGTAAATGTTTTTGTACGTGAACTCTGTGTGTGTGTTCTTGTTCTCAGGAGTTTGATAAGCTGTTGGAGGCCATGAAGAGTGCCTTGGCTGAGGACTCTCACTCAGCCTTCGTTTTCAACTGCTCTAACGGCAAAGGCAGGACCACAACTGGCATGGTTGTTGCCATTCTGACTCTCTGGCACTTTAATGTAAGACGCCTCCTTGAGTTTCCTGCACGTTTATTAAGGCCCTCAGTTTTATACATGAAAATGATCACATGTGGCTGATGTTTTCATTATCCAAAATGACATAAAACTGGTGTCTTCCACCTGCAGGGTTTTCCAGAGTTTGCTGATGATGAAATTGTGAGTGTTCCTGATGCTAAGTACACAAAAGGAGAATTTGAGGTATGTACATTTAAAAAACAAATGCCTTCTCCAGCTTGAAAAGATGTGCTAACAATTTACTGTGTCCATTTTTACATTTAATCATGAGTAGAATGAATATCAGACTGAAGTGTCACCATGTTTTGCAACCATTTTCATATCAGCGCTAATGCTGAGGCATGATCTGTGGTTGCTTCTCTTCAGCAAATATCTTAGAAAATGAACACTGTGGGGGCGGTGATTGAAGTGGACTCTAATCTCTATCACGATTAGTGCTAGTTTTTATTTTATCTGTGAAAATAATCTCTAATTCAGAGTACACATAACAAGTCTACATCATGTCACTCAAGTCAAACTGAAAAAAAGTGGACGCTAATGAGCTAACAATGTATTGTGATCATCAAAGAACCCTCTGACAGCAAACATATTATGTCAACACATTTTGTTAAACCAACTTACATTACCTACATTGATTAACGTTACCTAAACAGCAAACGTGTTTTAGTGTGAGTATAGGGAAGGGAAACTGATTATGGTCAAACAAATAAATATAAGCTTTTTATTTATTTATTTTATTTTTATTTATTTTTTTAAATGCTTTTTTGGAACTTGCATCAAGAACGAGTTACAGTGACAAACTCATGGCATATAACAGTTGTTATATTCAAAATCTTGTTCATACTTCCTTATGAAATTCAGTTTTAACATTTACAACAAGTACAAATACATCATATAGAGAGAGACATTTTATAATTAAATAAAAGCTGAGAAAATAAAATAAAATAAGTAAAACAAAAGAAGAGTATACAATATGTAAGGCAGTATACTTAAAAAAGGAGCTTAGCAAGGGGTTAAATTAAGTTGTGTTCTAACATAAGAGTGTAAAGTTTCTGGGCAGGGGCGTTTTGTACCTTCTTTATACATTTAATAAGTAAAGAGAAATCATCCTTCCAAGCATTCCACACTGGAGGAGATCTAGACAGTCGACATTTATGTATGTAGAATTTGGTCAAAAGTATTATGTTGTTAATTAGGTATTCAGTGTTTTTATCTTTCAATATCACTCCCAACTGAATATTTTTTACAAATAAATATAAGCTATTATATATGTATTGAAACTGTAGAGTTTCTCACAGTACATTCTCTGTATGTCAGCCTTGTATTTTTATTAAGGTGTTGAGTTATTATGGCTGTTGCTGTGTTGTATTCACTGTACTTGACAACAAAAGAGCACAGCCAGTACTGTAACCCTTCAATTCTTTTTTGATCTTTAATTTCTGTAGGTGGCACTTTCTTTTTCTTTCTTTGTTTGTCTATAACGTGCATGCTGCTGCTGCTGGAAACATAAATTGTATTAACCTTTTGTGCACGTTTTCCACAGCGTCCATAGAACAGGTTTTTAAAGATTTTGTTAGGGCAATAGAGGGTAGCAAAACCTTTACATTGTAAACACCATATTAAATGGAAGCTATTGTAAAGTTCATCACTTAAATGAGTCACATCACCAGTTCCTCCAAACAAATAATGCATGCCATACAAGTGTATATTAAAGGGGTACTGTACTGTTTCGCTCTTTAAACTCTAACTCTGCACCTGTGATTAAAAGCTTTGGTCAAACAAAGCCAGAATGCAAAGCCTTTCTCCTCTGGTCTGAATAGTGGCTGTGAATTGGAGGCGCTGGGTGTTTTTTTTTTTTTTTTTCTTAATTCAGAGCTGTGACAGTGAATCAGTTGGTGAAACCTGCTGGCCGTGTCCTCAGCACTGTAAACATGGACACACAGTTAGAGGCCGCACTCAGCAGGCACACAATACTGCGTGCCAATCACAGCGGCACAGCCGCCAGAGTTTCTGGGATACACAGAGCGGTCGTCATGTAAACCATGTCCGCCTCCGTTTTCAACCTCTGAAGGATGTGTAATGTCGCCATCCCTTATCTGCCAAAAAAGGTGTTGCTATGGCTGTGAGGTCCAGAGCATTACGTGATGGAGGAACTGGTGTTAGATTGTCCTTTCCTGGTATGATTATAGAAACTCCTGGTGTGATATAGTGCTAGGTAATCCTCTGATAATCAGTGCCCACCTGTGTGACGTATCTTTAAAAAAAATATGCCCTTTGTGGTTCTGTTAAGATTCCCTTAAAGCTGATATAATCAGTATTTTTCTAAAAACAGTGTATTATTATAATGTAAAAGGTGTGCTCTAGACAGGCACGGTTAGCAGGTAGTAAACATAGCTGAGCATTTAGTAACTAAAGAGCCAGATATTTCCCTCAGGAGTTAATAGAAACCAAAAACAGAGCTGAAAAAGACTTAAATATATGTCAACATATGATATGTGAGAATGTGTCAGTGTTGTCAGAACTTTCTGCTGCCCCCAAATGGCCCAAAACGTGAGCTTAACTCATCAATAGCCTTACATGAAGTGTGTTTTAATCCTTGTGTGTATTCGAAGCTTCATAAAATTGCCATTTAATTGTCCAAAAAAATCACTTTGGTAACATAGATTTAGTTGTCAGTTTGTGTATTAAAAGGCATGTCAACTTTCAGTTGTATAGAGAAAAAATGGGAAACTTTCATGCAACCTCACACAGACTGTGCGTTTTTTCCAAGGACAGTGGTCAAGAAGCATGCTGATGCTGCTGTGCTGACACACACAGACTGAATGAGAAAATATGGTTTGGCCTGCAGGCCTGTTCTGTTCTATGATCGCGCTCTTTGTTTTTCCTCCCTCTCTGCCTCCTGCTTCTCCTTCTCCTTATTTTCGGTGTCCTCATTAGTATCTGACATAAATCAGCTGCAGAGGGGCCAGCAACAAGGTTTTGTAAACTAGTTTGCAGCCACACAGTGCTGATGGAAACATTACAGCTAGGTCAACACTGTAAATACTGACACACACTCGCACCAATATTTCAATTCGATCAGAACTGATAGGCGGTCCTCCTCTTATGAACTCAGCTGAGCTCAGCTCAGCTTATAAATAGACAAATAAATGTATTAGAGATGTATTAAAACATGCAGTATAGACATAAAAACACAAATTCTGGGCAATATAGCGGAATAAAATTACAAAAAATATATTTTAAAAGATTAGATTTTATTACATTAGATTAGATTTAGACTTTATTGTTGGACCTTGGAATGGTAGTTGACAACAATCTGGTGACAGTCTCATCAGAAGGATGTGACATCTGACATCAAAAGTGCCAGAACAGCTACTAAAAAGACCTTGTGTTAAGTTTTTTTGTCAACTGAAGGTCAAGAATGAATTTTGAATATAAATTTTAAAGCCACCGTCAATGAGAACACTTCAAAGAGCTTAGAAAATGGAAATTTACGATACCACGAACCCTGAATTCTGGACAAACTCTATCTGTTGAGAATTTGTCGTGGGATATGACTGAAAGCTCTAAAATGGCTAATGAATAGACCCTGGCTCTTTAAAAAAGGTGAGTTGAAATGCCAGAGAGGTTAAAAAAGACAATCTTGGGTTTTTACAATTGGAAAAACAAATTTTTCAAGAAACAATGTGCTAGACCCTCTACTTCCCCTGAAGGTGCAGCATTGGTCTGATTCAATAAAATAACATAAAGCCATATTGGGTGGAAAGCAGATGTCCCAGAGTTAGTGCTGTTGGTTCAATTCTGCAGTCTTGTCACAACTTTTGAAACATTCTTGAAACTTTTAGCAAGAAGTATGCTTTATGTGGGGTGTGTTGTTTCTGGGGTGCAGGTTGTGATGCAGCTGGTGCGTCTGCTCCCCGACGGCCACAGAATGAAGAGGGAGGTGGACATGGCCCTGGACTCTGTCAGCGAGACCATGACCCCCATGCACTACCATCTGAGAGAGGTCATCATCTCCACGTACAGACAGGTACAGCACATCTCCCCGTAGTATTCGCTACCCATCCTTCTATCTTTGTGAGGACCAGTTTGATTTTAGGCCTTGTCAGTGGGATGTTTGGGATATTTTGTCCAGTTTTCTCTTTATCAAAAGGCTGTTTTGACGATTAATACTATTTTTTGGGTTTAAGGTTAGATTTACGTTTAGGTCAATATCCAGGTTTGAATTGTTAAGTAAACCCTAACAGTTCTCCCAAGGGGGTGAATCAAATCAGTCAAATACTGCTTACTTATGACTCTGTGCTGCTCAGGCTGAGACTAAATCAGCATGTTATTAAGGACTCAGGTGCAGTTTCTCATGAGCCCCATAGATGGCGTCAAGAACTTGTTTGGATGTCTTTTACAGCTGCAGCTTTAGGATCCTAGAGACATGAATGAGACAGATATGCTGCTCTGTGGACAGGAGCTGCAGAGCGTGGAAAATGACTGTGGTGCAACATAACTTATCTCTAAAACTCAATGGAATTCCTTTGGGTCTAAATGGAAAAGAGCGAGAGGAAGAAAGGCAGGAAAATAAATGATTGCTTGTGGGATTTGCAGAGTTGACCTTTTTGAAGTTTTATTTGTGAGCCTGCTGTGCAAAGCACAAAGGCACACTTGTGCTGTCCATGGTCCAAGTAGTATTAAATAACATATCATATTAGTATCTGCTGCTTTGTTTGCTACTGTACATGTGTTGAATGTATTTTCATGTGAAATCCACTGATTAGCTGGATTTATTAGACTTGCTGTATTGAATATGCTTTAACCACAAGGAGGAAAGGCAGGTAAGGTGAAACGGACGAGGTTTGGATGTATTTTTAATCTTTGTGAAAAGAGGATGAAAAGCAGCCGTAACCTTTTTTCTGAAAGGTGTTCCTGGTAATTCGGACATTCTGCGTAACAAACAAGGCATAAAGAGAACAAAATTAGCTTGTAGTGGGATTTGAAAGACCTGTCTGGACAAGGTCTCTCCTGATGCTGTGGCCTCTGCAGGACCATGGCTCTGTTTTAGCCATTTGTAATGCAGACTGTAATCATTGTGCCTCTGTGCACCGTCAGCCGTTCTCAGCACACTGGAGGCACCCGGTCCTGTCTCCACCATATCAATGGGCCTCATTGTCCTGTGAACCTTGTCTTTCGCCTATATTCTCTCTCCGTCTGTCACTTTCTGATGCCAGGCTCCAGGCAAAGGCTCGCTATCTGCTCACTTTCAAATCAATTAGGTAATTTGTATGAGCAGTAACAAAAGCACATATTTGTATTTTTAAATAAAATGGTAAAAATTCACTTCACCCTGTCCATGAGTTTCAAAGGATAATTATAGTTAAAAGTTGGCTCTGTTTTAATTTGTATATCATTACTATCAGGAATAATTTCATTGGACCCTGTGGGATTGACCACTAGTAGCACTTTAGAGTTAATGCTTTTACGAGTTTTGTTTGTGTTACGCACACCCCTGAGGATACAGGTGTTGCGATACACATTCCTGTAGCTTCATGCAATCCTATTGATTGGCTGCAAGGTAGCATAGCAATGTGCCAGCGAAGGCACTGAAAAAGAAGACTGCATGCTATCTAACATTTATGTAAACTATGCATGATGAAAATGTTTTATGAGGAAGGAAATGCTAGTTTTTATAGACTTCGTGGACACACACACACACACACACACACACACACAGACACAGACACAGACACAGACATGTTTTGGTGTGATATGCTGGATATGAACAGAACTTCTTGTATGTTTATAAGAAAACTCCACAGGGCAGCTTTAAATATTGGGATCTGTGAATATGACAGGAAAAGAAACACGAGCAGTCAGATGATCATACAACTTTTAAACACACTCTGAAGTTGGCCAAATTTACTTGAAAGAGGAAACGAAGGTTTCAACAACAGCATTATTACTCAAAATGTCTTGAAACTTTACAGACTGCCTTTCTGGTTAAATTTTAACTACCATACTTGGCCTACCAGTGGTGCTTGCCCACAATCCTTATTCGCCTCATCAGACTTCTTTTTAGCAATGTTCTCGTTTCCAAAGTTCTGCAATTACTTGGTTAACATACAATGTTATCATAACCTAAATACAAAATGATGGCCCACACAACAGAAAAGGGACCCTAATTATAATAAATCAGAATGATCTTTTAACCCTGCTATAGCAGACCTCAGGTTGGCACTATGTTCCCCTTTCAGCCTTTCCCTTCCTGCCTGAACCAACAGGCCAGGTGATAAACAGTGCCAGATGTTGCTAGAAGCCGGCAGGCAGCAGCACTGGAGAAAAGGGGGGAAGAAGAGGGGAAAAACTTCACCCCCACACTCTCTCTCTCTTCTCGCAGCCCTCTCCCCTCCAAAGCACCCTCCTCCCCTTTGACAGTGGTTGGAAAATGTGTCTTTGATAGAGAAAAAATATATTTACACTGGGACCCGAACCATCCGCCAGCTCCCAGAGGGGCCTGGGGGGTGGGGGGGAAGATGGAGGTGGGTGGTGGGTGGAGGTTTTTTGGAAGGGAGGGGGACAGAGCGGCAGGGGTTGGTTCTTCTTGAAGGGCCTGTAAATCCCTGCTGCCGTCCAGGCGGACCTCGCATTGCAGATGCATCCTCCAACATCAGGGCCAACGCAGCGGAGAGGTTACTTCCTCTCCTCCTCGTCTTGTCTCCTGCACTGGAATCAGCTACAGGGTCCTTTCTTTCCATCGTCAAACCAATTTGAGGAAGAAAATCGCCTCAAGCAATCTGTGCACACTGGTGTTTACTTTGACATTATTTGCTTTCTTTGTGTGTGTTTACAGGTGTGTTATATTTAGAATAACACACAGGCTGGATTTATTGGATTGAACTATGATTTGGAGTTAAGCTGGGAATCTGATGTTTCTTAGCAGATACACCAACATCTCTTACCCTTCTGTTTCTTTGTTTTCCCACTATTGCAGCTTTCCTTCCTTATCAGGATATCTAATTTCCACCAATTATATTTTTGTATTATATTTATCTGTCCGTCTAGTACATCAGTTAGCTCTAGCATGCCCAGTGTTACCCTTCAGACCACCAGGCTTGGGATTGCATAGCTGTGTCTGATTTATCCTGTCCAGGACTTCTCCCTGCATGTACAGAAAATATAATCATTGAAGTTCGCTGGCTTCCCAGTCCATCAAGAGGATATTAAAAGCAAAGAGAGCGGAGTGGCAGAAATGGAAATCGTCAAATCTGACAATCCCAGAAACCCAACTCCTAATCCTTTTTGTTGGGCGAGCAGAGATTTTCCTGTATCACCTCTCTTAAAAAAGCTTTTTTCACCCAGCTGGTGAGAAAACTGAAACGCAAAGAGCGAGAGTGAATGAGCGGCAAACCGTGCTGTGTGTGTGTGTATGTGTGTGTGTGTCCAAAGAAAGGCCCTCATGGTTTGGACGGGGCAGTGGAAAAATATTTTCAGAAAGGGGAGAATGCTGCGAGCAGGTTTTCTTGAGGAAAGGTAGTAGATGTCTTTAAGAGAGAAGAAGGAGGAGAAAGTGGGGCCAAATGCTCCATGTTTGTAGAGGTTGAGGGGACCACCGCAGCACTGACAGTCCGATTAATTTTACTCAGGAAGAAGAGCAAGGGATGGGAAAGTATGAGACAGTCTGGGTTAATGATCCACATTTCAGGTTTGCACTTAAATCCCACTTATCTTAAATACTGCTTTGGCTCAACGGCCTTTTCTTTCTTCTCAAATAGGATGACCACTTGACACAAGTGGGCTAATTACCAGGTGGAGTTGGTTACAGCCAAAGGAAATATTGGCAGGAAAATGAATCAGACAGGTTCCTCTTCTTGCCTGAAGTGTGCGTTGACTAGCGGCTCCTGAAAAGAGGCTCTTATTTAGATCCAGCACTGGGTGGGAGTGAGCAAAGTGGGAGAGCCAGAGGTTGTTGTTGTTTTTCCTTATAATTTCCAACCTCTCTCATGCCAATGCCAATAGCTGTATTTGCTGTGGCTGTCTACAAAATGACTTTATTTTGACCAAATCCCATCTGAGCAGGTGCAACCAGCTTAAGTATATGGGCATAGATAACGCCGTCTCTCTGTGCACCATTAGTCCAGTAGGTAGTTGTGATTGTATGTGTGTGTGTGGCAGTATGCAGAGGTAAATAAAGCGTCTCTGGGGACTTTCCGGAGGGGCTGGGTGAGCCGGAGGGGTTACAGGCAGCTGCTACAAGTCAGTTGCTATTCAGGAGCCCATTTATTTCAAGGGACTTTCCACAGCTGTAAGTGACTTCAAATGACACTATAATACACCTAGTGAGTGTTTAATGTGCCCATTGGTGTCTTATTTGACACGATCCATTAAAGGGCTGCTGAATTTACATTGGTGCTTACCTCATATATTTCATTCCTTGTTAGAAACTGTAGGTTTAGTTGTGCATTTGAAGCAGATACCATACTGCCGTTCAAAGGCAAAAGGCCTTAACTTCAGTTTTGTAATGCAGACACCAAGAATAAGGTAAGAAAGTCTACATTAGGCTGCAAGATAGAGATAAATAGGCAGTCTACTAAAAGTACTTGTTAGTTAACTGAAGCTAACCACTTGACAAACAGTTGACAACCTATCATTCTTATTATGCATACAATGCAAAGGCAGAGTACCGTAGCTTCCAAATAAGCATTAAGCAAATTTGACCTCAATATCTTTTTATAGCTAAATAACTTAAAAAAACAAAGAATTGCCACATTTCCAATATGCTGCATACGATTTATTTGGCTTGACAGCAAAATGCCTATAAAGTTCTACCCTCTGGCGAGGTAAGTTTGTAGGTCAATGTAGAGAAGGGGAAGATGAACTACATGTGACAATATTCTTGTGATTTTCTGACAGCACAGAGTCGACACAGTGAATATTTAAATTTCCCCCACTCTGTGTGTGGACTAATCATACTGCCTTCATATTATGGGTCCAAGGTATTTATAGCCATATGTCCAGTGGAAGGCAGAGTGTATGCAAGGTTTT